GTGTGTGTGTGAAAATGTTGGTGTTTGTTTGTCTTTTCATTCTGCTTCTAGTTAGATCTATGAAAGAACATTCAGCAAAAGGCAACTTGGCATATTCTATATCGGTGGACTTTAAAAAAAATTTCTAGCCTATGAGCTCCACCAGCACTGTGACCTCTTGCACTTGTGTAAATAGATCCAAGAGGTCATAAATAGTACCATCTACTTATAACCTTTTTGAAACAGACCTACGCACAGATCAACACTCCCTGATTTGCTTGAAAAGTATAACCCTGCAGGATACACTCATATCTATATTATTATTGCTTCTTGAGTCGTTCATATTTTATAATAGGACTATAATCGTCTTGCCGGGCTACTTAATTATCATAGTAACTGTCTAAGTAATAGTTTACATGTACAACACAGAATGCCTATTGTTGTTGTAGTCTAACAATGAGGCTATAAGTATAAATGGCAGTATATTATTATAACCCAGTGATAGCTAGGCTAACGTTTTACTTTTTAAACATTTAATGTCATTAATTAAGATATTAGAATGATATTAAAATTTGTGAATGATCTGGCAATTACTTTTGGGCGGAAGTTGTTAAGTTTTAGAGTTCGTGAATTGCGCACGAAATGCCATGGAAATGAGATCAACAATGGCAACAACACCGCGTAGCGACTAGCGAAAGATGGGTTTGCATACTGTGTCAGCACTGTGAAATGCCCTTCTTGGAGTCGTGCAGTTTTATTCATGAACGCTGACCACAACTGTATAATTATATGAGCTTTTGCAGTTGCACTGAAATAGTGACCGAATGAATCCAGTGTATCTCGATTCTAGATCTATCTAGATCTAGATCTAATCTAGATCTATATATCTAGATCTAGAATCTAGTCCATTCTGCAAGGCCTGCAAGTGAATCAAACGCGGGCAGTTTTTACTACAAATCTAGAATTCTAGATCTAGAATCTAGATTCTAGATCTAGGTCTAGATGGTCTATTAGATCTAGATCTAGATCTAGATCTAGTCCAGATTAGGTCTTTTAGAAAATCTAGTCTAACTCTAGAGCTCTGAGTCTGCAGGGCTTGGCCTAACAGGCGAGACATTTCGGTAATTGTTCCATACCATCAAATCATCAAATTAAAGCCTTTATTCACTCAACACCAGTCAAAATTTAATGTGGAAACGTTTTGCTAAAATGCCATCTCGGAATCCAATAGTGCTGCTCTTTATGCTGATTAATGTTATCAGACAGGAAGACTCGGATATGTTGATTATTTATCTTGCTACATTTCTAACTGTAGTGCTTTCAATTTGTGTTTTTAGACTCTTCTACAGTAATGAGAAACGCATGATGCTTTACAGTTATAGCCATCAGTTGGGGTTCAAAGATGAAATTAAAGAAACAACTGATTCTAAATCTAGTTCTTATATTATTGAAAAACATGATGAACATTCCTGTTATCCAGTGGGTGACTTCTCAGATAAGAAAAGTGTCAAAAGCAATCGTGTTTGTGAAGTAGGTCAACATTCTTCTTCACATGAAAACGCTTTCAATACTGGTCATTGGCAAAGGTCAAACTGGAAGAAGAGTAACAAAGATCAAATTGGAAACCAACCAGTAGGACGGGACATACTCCACAAAAAGAAAAAAAAAGGGCTGAATCAAGCTTTTGATCCTGTAGGAGATGATTATGAACGAACCATCATTCAAGCCTTGGCAGGCTTAAAGAGTTATATAAATCGGTCTGCCACAGAAAAGAAGATTCGGGCAGTTGTAGCCGTTGTTAAAGATGCTGATAGTGCCAATGACCAGTCTGATGATGTGTCCTTTAAAGATCAACAAAGAGAAACACCCTGTGCTTCTTCCAGTTCAGAAGAGGAGAAAATGTCCAGCACCTCTCAGTCATCCGTGCAAACGATGATACAACTGAAAAGGTTTATTGTGAGGATGAATCCCTCTGGAGAAGAGCAAGGCGGTGACGAGGAGAAACAAAAGCAAAGAGAGCCCAATAAAGTATGTGGCTCCTATTTTTCTTTAAATGTCCACAATACTTGTTCAAGATCTCCTCCAGTGCCAGTAGATTCTACAGCAGGTCAATTCTCAGCTGGTTCATACTTGGTAGACTATGGCTCTTTGACTGGTGAGCGAAGAAACAAAAAGGATTGTACAAGAGTCCGCTATTCTAGTGACGAGGTTTCTAAAGTTTTGAAGTATGACATGCTGAAAAGTACCTCTATTCCTACAAACAGTGGGCAAAGCAGTCCTCTCAGAAAGCTACGAATGAATCATTATGCTCGCGGAAATCCTGTTCAGAAATCAAGTACTTTGAAGTCTGCAGTAAGCGCACCTCTTGTCAGGTTTCAGGGTAGAGAAAAGACAAAAAGGGAAATCTCGTAGAGAATCCCTCACTGGCTTGCTACTCATAGAATACATAATTCCAGTTCCAGTATTCAGTTGCTCCAAAAAGAGTAACAGGATGGCAATCATTTTACTCCTGGATCTCCAATATTTGGAGGTCCTCACATTACATTTGAACTTACTTTGACCTGAATCAGGGAGTGCATTTTCATCTCAATGAAAAGCAATTGAGGTTTTCATCAGTGATGATGTAAAGTTGGAAAGGTAATATTTTACGTGTGTGTACTTTGAATGCATTTGAAATGTTGTTTGACTGTCGTTAGTCAACCATTTCTTTTAATTTGCTTTCATTGTCAGTTTTATGTTTAAACACTTTTTCTTTTATTGTTGGTTCCATTTTTAGGGCTGTCTGTATTTTCCTGTCGCATGATTAGTATCCTTAGTAATATAGTATAGTGATTTACTTGTGCCTTCTGCCTTAGATTTGACATGAAATAACATACGTGCCCATGAACACTTCAATTTTATAATTAATGTTCTGTTACTTCATCATACATACTCGTAGATAGTTAACCTGTACAAATATAATTTCATTGCTACCTGCTTCTTTGTGTATATCAAGCATTTATGGAAGGAATGTTTAAAACACTTATGGAGGGGAGGGGGGGGGTTGTGTATGTGTATAACTTGTAATCATTTCTATGAGTGTCAATGTTAGGACCCTTGGCCTGCCGTGATAAACTCTTCTAGTTTTACTCTTCTTTTTTTATTGGAGTTGTGGAGTTGACTTTTAAGTCAAAAGGAAAGAAATAAGTCTAAGGATCTCTTCAAATACTGCATGATGTGGAAAAATGTAATGTCTCACAAAACGTTTTATAATCTGTTGTCGTTCTTCTCTGTGTTGCAGCTGTGTCTGGCTGCAGTGTGAGCAATGGTGGCTGCCAGCACACCTGTGTAGACGGCTACAATGGACACTACTACTGCCGCTGTCAGGAGGGCTTCAGGCTTGGTGCAGATGGGAAGGCTTGTGAAGGTAACTTCTTTAGTCAATTATTTACTTACAGTTGTCGGGGGTTTTTCTGTTTTATATACTCTCTTCTTGACAGTCAAGAAAAGCTGGCGGAACTGGCTATTTGCCATTTTACATAATATGAGGGGTCAGTCTGATTGGTACAATAGTCACTAGTCTATTTTATTGAGTACTGCTTCCTTCCTTTTTAGAAGATGTTTTGTTTCAGATTGATCTGGCACTGATAACCAGGGTCGAAGCAGCCCCCCCCCCCCCAAATCCCCCTCCGTATGGTTCAAGTTCTGTCAATGGAGGTATACATCATTGACAATAATTACCAATAATTATAAGAATGTTGTTGGGATGAATACCATATTAGGATTTTTTTTATTTTTGTTTTGTTTTGGCATAGCATTTGATATTATATTATGTGTAAGTTTAAGTAAGATATAAACTATGTAATAAGTTGATTTGTTTTCCCTTCTTTTGTTTGTAATTGCTGTAAACGTTTACTTACATAACAAGATCATGACAACACGCGGGAGATTTGCTCTCAAAAACCTATGATTTTAGATTCATTGAATTTCAGATGCAATCTTTTCATGCTTTAATGGTAAAAAAAAAGTAAAGTTGTTCCCGCATCCGATCAGGACATTGGCATTGTTAGTGAGTCAACTTCCTGAGCCTTCAGCATAATTTGGTAGGGTGGCCAGTCCCTTCCCACGCCGCCTTTACTTCCCCAACTCAAAGTCAGGTACCCATTACTGCTGGGTGGGCTGGAGGGGGCGAAAAAAATCCTTGTCCAAACTGAGGCTCGAACCCGGACTTTCCACTTCGGAGACGAGCACACCAACCGCTCCGCCACCGCGCCCTTCCATTAATGAAATCAGGAAAATCGGCTGACTTGAGAGGAAATTAATAAGCAGAGTTAAAAAGTCTTGTTACTTTACAATGGATAGAAAAAATCCGCCCCCTCTCCCTTAAAAAAAAAAGCAAAAATATATCTTGACATGGTAGAATCAAACGCTGATATATGTTTGGGCATATGGAGTTATTGGTATCATCTTGACGCTTGTTCACGTATCTTGCTTTCGATGAAAAAAAATATCCATCTATCTTGAATAAAAGTAGAGGTATTTGCGATTAAAGGAAGTTTGGGTCACTGCTGGCGTCAGTGGAAAAATAATGAGAAATGGGCCACCTTGTGCGGCGACTTCCAAAGCTGTAGTATCCTTGGAATCTGCAAATTTAGATCTGATCAAACTTTTCCAAGTAAATTTTACACAGGGTTGTGTTTATAAATGAACAGTACAAGTTTCCATGATGGTTTGCTTAATATGTGCTTTAAAAATATCTTGATATGTTTCAGAGGTGAATCCATGTCGAGTGGGAAATGGTGGCTGTTCCCAGGAGTGTGTCAGTGATCGGGGCCGTGCCGTGTGTCGTTGCTACAGAGGTTATTCTTTGGGGGCTGATGGACGCTCTTGTGAAGGTCTGATGTGAATCATTTTCTTAAAAGATAAAAGTACTTTTAATGCAAAGCACATTCTCTTTCAGGTCCCCCCCCCTCTCTCTCTCTCTCTCTCTCTCTCTCTCTCTCTCTCTCTCTCTCTCTCTCTCTCTCTCTCTCTCTCTCTCTCTCTCTCTCTCTCTCTCTCTCTCTCTCTCTCTCTCTCTCTCTCTCTCTCTCTCCCTCTCTCTCCCCCTCTCTCTTTCTCTCGCTCTCTGGCTCACTCAAAAAGCAAACAATAACAAGTTTATGCACAATCTTGATGAATTTGAGATATTACATGTCGAAAAAAAATTATTTATAGGCGTATGTGATAGTTCTCTAACTGAACGTCTTTTGAAAAATGAAATGGTACATTTTTGCCTTATCTTTTGGAGCTGCAGATGTTGTCAATCATTTGGAGGTTTAACAAAGCATGTTACTTGTCAAAATGGTCCTTCTCCTCTGAGACTCGCTGTTTTTCCCCCTTGTTGTCATGTTGACAAAATGGGAGAATTTGCTTCAGTTGGATAAGAATTCAATGGAATTATATAAAGAATTTCCGAGTAAACATATATTTGTGAATAAAATGACAGGTCTTCATGAATTTTTGTTTTGTGTTTCCTGTGTCACAGATATTGATGAATGCACAGTGGGTAACGGGGAGTGCAAACAAGCCTGTATCAACACTGCGGGCTCCTTTTCCTGTGCTTGTACACCTGGGTACCAGCTGGGAGTGGATGGAAAGTCCTGCTATCGTGAGTACTCTCTATAATCTGTCAGAAACGAGCTGTTACTGCTCACTAGTATTTTTTTGCCCAAAATATCTTTTGACCTATGGTAGATGGGTTTTTTTTAAAAGACTGTTTCACACTTTTTTGCTGATTCACTCTTGGTAGAGGGTTTTTTAAGCTATAGAGAAAGAGATTGGTGTTCCAAGATATTTTAAAAATACTTTTTAAATATTTATTATTTTTTTATATTCCCTTTCCTAGCACTCCTTGCAACTAGCATTTCTGGGCCAGGGTTGGCCTAATTAATTGACCACATGCAACACCATCACAAAGACCATGCATTTGTACAGCTCAAACATTACCATGTTATAATAGGGAGCAATGTTGACAGCTATTTTCTGACATATATTCTCATCTGATAATGAAACGGCTCCAGGTGAGTCCATTAACTCAAGCAAGTGCTTTTAAAGATAATATCAGAAGGGATATATTTGAATTCATTAGTATCAGTATGTTTCATGTCTTTGATTTTAAACATAATCAGTTCAAAGTATGGAATGTAATTTTTACTTTGTGGCGCATGTATAACTCTGTGCCGTCTGTTTGTATGATAATTGCATCTCCAATACTGATCAACAACTCTGAGTTCGTTTACTTAACTAAACATGATTGTTATGTAGTTTTGTGGCAGATTACGGTCAGTTTATATGAAAAAAAATCGAACTTGAATACTACGGAAAACTACTATAGTGCTTCTTGATGACTGGTACAATGGCTATTGGCTTGAAATACAACTATATTGTACAGCTATATTGTATCAAGCAGAGTGGAAGAGGGTATTTACAAATTAAAAGATGCTTTGTAAGATGCATGTGAGTGACTATCTGCCTCAATATGTAAGCCACTCTGTATAATACTTGGTGCTGAATCTGCTTTGTGGTGGTGTAGGGGGTGCGCAACATGACTTCAGATGAAAAGAATGTGGGTTCTGTTCTGATTTTATGGCTTTAATTCTTTGTTATGAGTTTTGTCATGCAGGAGATGGGTTGCAGTTTCATTCCTGATGTTCTTGTGAAGCATTTTTTAAAGATATACATGTACAAGGTTTTAGCTGAAAACACCGGAAAGCTAACTGACATTATTTCTGTCTCTTGTTTGAGAGAAACACTCCCACATGTAGGTCTTGCAGCTGTGATAAAAATTGAAAAAGAAATTACTTGACATAGAATTTAGAATATATCTTTGCCCAATTTGGGAGAACATTACTAGATACACGGAATTTATAACATGTCTTTGTCCATGTAGAGGGGAATTTCTTAATGTAAAATTTAGAATATACCCTTTTCTATGAAATCCTAAGCAGACTTCGTGTTCAGGGTATTTTTATGTTGTATGGGGTCTGCTATTGAGTCATGTTTGTCAAGGGAAGACTTGCCATTGTCAGAATGCTGTTCTATTTGGTCAGTGTACAAATTGTATGCTGCATTTGACGTTCCTTAAGGTTTTTTTAAATAAATGCAGGCCCTGAACAAGAGGTTTGGGTTATGTTTCAAGGAAAAATAACCGATTGTATTATTGTATTCTGATTGATTCCATATTTTTACAAAACATACTACAAACTATTCTATTATTATTTCAATACGTACTCTCAGGGTGACTTGCCCACTTGCCCTTCTATATAGTCTAGCCAAAGCTGTGTCCTTTCTTTTCCTTATGTTATTAACGAACTAATCCTCGGGCATTTGTTTTCCTTGTTGCATTTCTGCATAAAACTCTGTTTTGTGAGCATTTCTAGTAGAATATTAAACCTTAGAAATGTCTAAGTTACATACATTCTCTCTCTCTCTCTCTCTCTCTCTCTCTCTCTCTCTCTCTCTCTCTCTCTTTCTCTCTCTCTCTCTCTCTATCTCTCTATCTATCTCTCTCACTCACTCTCTCTCTCCACACACACACACACACACACACACACACACACATAAACACAGACTCACACATGTTCTCATAAATGGGTCCAGACACACTCACCATGTGCACATGTACTCTTCTCTTTTGTACCCTCTCATATTCCCACGCCTCCCTGTTCTGCACTACCACACATTTAAACATCCACTCCTGGCACCTCACCATCACCATACAATTGTGCACCTTCCCTTTGAGTCTCCTCCGACACCCTACCTTCAACATCATCTAAAAATGGTGCACATCATGTTTTGCCCTCACTTCTCAAATTTGGCTTTTACATTGAAGAGGCACAATTCTGATCTGCAGACATTTCCTTCCTCTGAGTCTCTATCAATCCCCCCCCCCCCCCCCGCAATACGCCCACTCCCACTTTTCCCAAAGAGAACAAACTACAGTCTCCTGCTCCTCTTCATCTTCACAGCATCAATTCATCGGTTCCTGTACTGTTTGTCTCACAACATTATTACCTCCCCCCTTATTCCTACTAAAACAGTACGTGTATTATGCTTTCTCATGACATACACACTTTGTCATCATAATTATACAAGTGATCTCTTTGGTTTCTATTTCAGCTTATAAATTTTATTAACCCCGAAACGTTGTGGTTGTCACCTGCCCACTGTTGATGTTTAAAAAAAAACTTATTATCATTGTTGGGGGGTTTTTTTGGCCAGGAGGGGGGGGGGGTTACCCCGTTTGAAAAAAAGTTCTTCAAAGAGAAGAAGAATATAGGAACTGTTAACTAGTTTTAGTGTCAGATTAGAGGTGCAAAAGAGCAGTTTAGCTACTTTTTATTCGAAGATTGAATTTTAAATAATAAATAAACAGAATACAAGTCGAAAGCCGGAGACAAAAGATGGGAATGAAAGGGAGACAATTTTTAAATAATGATTTTTGCATACATTCTCAAGAATACACCACTTGAATAATGTTTTGTCTTGCACTATTATCTGCGGGGGTGGGGGGGGTATTTATGATGGAACATACAAACAACAGCAACTCTATGTAATGAACATTTTTCTTCACTTAAACTTCTTGGTTATAGCTTAAAGTATGCCCCCCCCCCCCCCCACAAACCACACACAAACGCATTTTTTTTTCTTTTGAGGGGAGAGGGGGGTGCACAGTGAAAGTCTGTGCAGCTGACTTGTGAAATCACAGGTTGAGGTGTGTAGCTCCGTTCTGGTGGTGCAGGTCATGAGCGCAACGTTTGTGTTTAGTCCTCAGTATGAGATGCCTAGCAGTATTGTGTGTTAACTGCCACTGTGTAAACGCCTTACTAATGCCTTGTTGCTTCTCCTGCCATTTCCCAATTTAGCACAAACTAATGTGAGTAGCAGCAATGGAGAAGGTAATTTCTGGCTTACTTTTTCTTTGTGTGTCTCTGTGTGTAATGTCCTGAGTCTGTTATTAAGCTCTTTGTCATCAGTGTAAGTCACAACCGGTGTGTATGCGCAGAAATTAATGAGGGTTATCATTTCCCCCAGAGTTGGGATGTTCACCTGACAAACATTTATCTTGGTTGCAAAGATGTGTACAGTGATCTTGTTTAATTGTCCTTAGGGATATTTCCCACACCTGGCCAACGATTAGCCCCTGTTTTCTTCATCAAATTTACAGACTTACAGTCATTGATCACTTTGTAGACATCTTGAGAGTTGAAAGTTGACAGAGAGTTGGACTGCTGAAGCATGCTGATTCATAATCATGAATTTGACCCCCACCCTAAAGTGAAGAAACTTTGATGTTGGATCAGTACCCAAAACATTCTACAAAATGTATGTGGCCGCATCAAAACGGAGGGGAACTTTTCAGTTATAGCACTTATAGGGACATAGAATATGGGCAGTTATTTTGTGGTATAAAAACCCTGTAGATGGCTGACTAAGAAATCTCTGAAGAGAAAGAAAGAATGTTTATCTTTCAAAGTTGTGGCTTACAATGAAGACATTTAATGTTATGGCTATCTGCTCTGCGGCAGTTTGCCTGAGAAATGTCCTTGAGGTTGTCTTATGTTTGTGATGTGTTAAAGATGATAAATGTATGTGTGTATGTATTGTTATGATTATGTGAATTTCATATCTGTATTTGTGACCTATATGTCCGTCCTGTTATGTATTGCTCATGTGTCAAAGACTTATCATGTGCATGTGGCGATATGCCCTGTTTCAACTGATAAGAGAACACTGCAGGTAAAAATTGTTTTTTTGTATGTCACGTTCATTGAAGTGTCTTATCTAAATAAACACATGTGGAGTGATAGTGTACTACATTTAATTTTGAGAAGGGATTTGAAGGGAAAAATTAGGCAGGAAGGTTGGAGGGAGGGCTGTTATAAATTTAATACACCCATATTTGTTGGCAGGCAAGAATCCGCATAATAATATAATATACAACAGAGGTTTTTCTGGCTTTTACTCTGTCATGCAGTTCTAAACCAAACAGATCTGATTGTGCTGTAATATTGTAGTTAGTCAAAATAATTTGTTAATATTTTTTTTGTTTAGTTGCTAGCCTTTTGTTGGTCCAAAGATCTTTTATTGCTTGTCATGAAGATGCTGTTGATCCTCGAGGGCAAAATTTCTCATTCTAACAATAAAGAAATGAACTTATCGTAAAATTCATGGATGCTGTAAGCAAAACTATTACCCTTTTTCTCTTGTTACTCCGTGCCTGTATTTCTTCCTTACGGCACTGAAGCTTGCGTGCTCAGTTTTGCACGTTTTTTCAAAACTTTTTTTCTGCTCTTCCTGCCGCATCTACACTTCATCCTTCTTTAGCAGCTTATAGGACTTATCCATTTTGTAATTGGCCGTTCTCTATGCAGTGTTTATCAGCAATGTTAATCAAATTGTTTGTAGTGATGGAAAAGGCCAGCAGACTCGTGTTTGGATTGTTGCATAGACCGAAGACTTTTTGATAATGATTCTGTTTAGATTAAGGCATCTTCTCATTTGCTGAGCAGCTTTGTAAATGTTCTAACGTTCTAAAGACAATTTATTGTGTTAATAGTAATGTATAAGGCCAGTATAGCTCCAACTATAAGATAATGAATACATTGTTGAGACATTTAGCTATGTCAGACATCAATCATTCCATCAACCTTTTACTGTCCCATTGATAGTGAGGGGTGAAAAGGACGCTTTAGTGAATAGGTTATGTTTTTGCGGTTTTCATAATTTTTTTTCTCGACTTCACATGTTGTTAAATTCTTCTCTCTTTAAAACTTTCCAAAAGCTTATAATGCGGAATCCATGTTGGAAAGAATGACCTATCAAGACAAAAATCCTGGTAACGACTTTTAGAAATAATCATCTTTACTATGGTAAAGCATACCATGTTTTGAGTAAACATGCTTTAAGATGGTATGCTTTGCTTTTAAGTAAGTGGCAGATTGATGTAATTTGGTTACTCTTTGTTTCCTAAAGAAGCGAGGAAATCCTACCCCTTCTTATTAATGCTTGTGTTGAAACTGATCTGTCACTTTACCCGTTATTTACTTTTTATTATATATTTTGTTTATCTTTATGTTTTCATTTCTTATTTTTTTGTGAATACCTGAGACGTCCCTGTGAAACCTATAAATCAGTTCCTGAATAAGATTATTCCTGAATAAGGTTAGATTGGTAAACGATATTACATTGCCTGTATTTTTGGCTGCTAGCAAGAAATTCGATCTGCAAGGATGCAGATGGTGACGCTAACTGTAGGCTACATCTGATCCAAGGTATCAATTGTGCATTCAATTTTAGTCAATTTTGAGTGTAAAGCAAAAAAAAAATGGAGATTTCTATATAGATCTATATCCGTCATTGCATTGTTTGTTGTTTTTTTTGTTAAAGTGCAGTTGGATAACATCTTAAAGATGTAGCTCTCATAGTAATAGTTAAAATATTCTTTGTCAGAGGCTACTGCATTGCATGACATACATGGCATCCTTTTTCAAGTACTTTTTAAAAATGCAAAATATCTTTTCTGTCAGCTTTACTGCCCTTTCATAATTGTTTCTGTGAAAGCAACTTTGGATTCCCATTTTACTTGAAACCACTGTTATGAAAAGGGGAACTCAAGTCACTTCTCATCGGGACTTTTGAGGTTGTTTCATGATTTAAGAGCAAAAGTTAGATTTTATTTGATATTTTGTTTTCGAAGAATGTCTATTAGATTTTTTTATCATTGCAGTAAAGATTTAAGGATATATATGTATTTGCACAGTGCAATAGTTGCTCGGTGCAGCAGCATTCAATTCTGTTCCCCCAAATGTATGTTGTTCCCTGTTATTTGTTAAGTGTGTAAATGTTGCAGAATTATTTTTTTATATAAATCTAGTGAGGAGAAAAAAAAAACTGTAAATAAGCTTCAAGTTATGTTCATTTTGGATTATTATTTTTTCCCACCAGATGCTAATCCAATAGTCTTTTTTTCCTAAATTCCTTTCTCTTGTCTAAAAATGTCTTTTGAGAAAGAAAGGGAATATCATTGACCACTTGCAAAGAAGATGGCTGTGTTCCTTATTACTGAACAAGAGAGAATGAGTTTGTAAGGTTTTACCATTGTGCTATTGATTGGCCGTGACTTTCCTAGGTTTTACCCACTAGTAAAGACTTAGAAAGTTACGACGTTTGTCACGGGCACACTTTGCTTTTATAAAACGCCGCTACAAATAGAGTATATTATCATCAATGGTTGGATGTCTCTTAGTTTGGTTGTTTTTTGGGTGCTTTTGGAAAGGGGGTGGGGGTGGTTTCAAGGTGTCAAAAATATTAACATTTTTGTGAGCAGGCTGTTCAAAGAGTAAATTTGGGATGGAGGTGTTTTATGTTTTGAAGCTGTACCGAAATGTAGACTTTATTTTTTGAAAGCCATTTCACTTTTATGTGCGCCCTTTTCTAAATTTCCTATTCACGAATTTGCATTTCGTTTCTCATCCTCCGTTGCCACATAATTTTATGTTTCTGCTTGCTACTGTGCATTTATTTGTTTGTCTGTGTTGTTGTGTATGTGCATCATGTTTTGCTTGCCTACACTGGTACCCTTCTTGCACAGCTTGATGTGAACTTTGGTTTGTTCCACATTCATATTAATTATTTTTGGTCTGCACATGTTTGTGGTGGATCAAAGCATTTATATTTCTGCATTAGCTTTTGTAAGCATAATTATTAGTCTTTGAAATACACAATGAGACTCTTGTGCTAATACAGTGCTTTTCTCTTTATCTGTACGAAGTAACTGGGATTTCTGCTTTAACAAGGCTTTGCTAAATTAATGTTTGGCTTATTGCTGTTATTCTAATAGTGTACTGGACTCTCAGCTCTAAGATATCCAGTCTAACGATAGTTTGAGTGTTCCATTTAATCTGTTAAAAAGCTTTTTCAGTTACCCCTCAGATGTTTTCTTCCTGCGTTGAGTGTTCACACATGTATCAATTCAATAAGCTAATATAGCCATTTCTTTTTTTCTCTCTTTTTTAAATTGATGTGAAAAGTGTGTTGACTTTGATATTACTGTCACCCTTTGGAGACTTGACCTATGACAGTTATTCTGACTACGCAGACCTGACGCTCACCAGTGTTCTTGACCAGTACCCCAACTTTACTCCTACATAGCTTTTCTGCCTCTTCCAACGCTGTAGTAAAAAGTTCCAACTCTGTCTACAGAAAATATTTTAAATGAGAAGAACATTCTGGCTTGTAATATATAGAAGTTTACTATTTTATTAAAATACGATAACCATTCTTTTTTTCTGTCAAGTGTCTTGCTTCTTCCTTTCTCTAAATAAGAATTTGTTTATTGGCGAAAATCTAAGTCTCAAAAGTTCTCTTGCTTGTTCAGAAAATGGTGACCATCATGTTTCCTTGAGTTGCCCCTTCTGTTGTTCTTAATCAATGTTGACCAAAGACGTGTTTCTAAGGCTTAAAGTGACTTCTGTTTTGACTGTTCTCTCATTTCTTCCTGTAATCCCATAGTCTATGTTTTGACTGCTGACTGTAGTGTGGACTGTTGAAGTTGACAGACTTAAGTTTATGGAATCGGAAAATAATTTCTTTTTTTATTTAGAGAATATGAAATGCGTATGATGGTGACATTGGTGCCAATGTATCCAGGTATTGAGATGGAGGTGGTAGACTTCTGCAACATCGGAAATGGAGGCTGCGCCCACAAGTGTAAGCACACAGAGGACGGTCCCGTCTGTTCTTGTCGCAAGGGTTACAAGCTCCAGGCAGATGGCAAGGCTTGCGAAGGTGAATTTGTGTGTGCTCATGCCTATTCTTATGCTTTTATGGGTCTGTCTGTCCCCACGGTTTTATGCACACAAAAAAATGAAATTATGCAAACTGAGCCCAAAAATGTGAAATTATGCGATTCTGTTAATTTTAACAAATAATGATGAAGGAAAATAATCAGAAATTATGCAAAAAATGATCAAATTTTGCTAAATTATGCGGAGTGCATAAAACCATGGGGACAGCATTATGTTGGAGCATTTGTGTATCTCCACGTAATGTGTATGTTATTTATTTACGTGTATACAGTCATGTCTTTAAATCCTATCTCAAACTTGCGGTCCACTTTTATGTATTACAAGGATAATCCCTGAGCCAAACTGGGGAGAGAGTGTTACACAGAAAACTTTATTGGAAGTCGGAAGCAATTCTCATTCGAGCTTGTCCAAGACAACCACCCAATGACCGATAGTTCTCTTGGACTGTGTCATTATAACATAGAAAAAAATATGAAAGATGGGAAGTGGTCATTTACACAAGAGATTGCCTTGGACAGGTGCTCGTTTGAGCAGGGTGGACTGTATGAAAGTTTACTCTTTGGTGTGGAATGGAACAGTTCATCAAACCATCCACCAACAACTAACTCTGAAGTTTTTCTGTCAAGGTTTCACTTTCTCGCTGCATCCGAGTTTTCTTAATAGCTTTGGTTTGTTTTTGGCTTTCATACTTTTGTCTCTTTCTGCTTCTTGACAAAGTGATGATAGCACAAGACACGTGTTATAGACTCCATTATATGACAAAGTCCTGACAGTATATTATGTGCTATTGGGACTGTTTTATGACAAAGTGCTGATAGTACATAGTGTGTTATTGGGACTGTTTTATGACAAAGTGATGATGGTACATATTGTGCTATTGGGACTGTTTTATGACAAAGTGATGATAGTACATAGTGTGTTATTGGGACTGTTTTATGACAAAGTGCTAATAGTACATAGTGTGTTATTGGGACTGTTTTATGACAAAGTGATGATGGTACAAAGCATGAGTCATTGCCTCCATTTTATGACAAAGTGTTGATGGTACAACCTCTTTTGGATGTGCTTCTCTTCACTCAAACAATCAAATCCCTCCAGAGCACAGAGGGTAGCTAACTGTAAGATGTTCATCTCACAGTATGAGAAGCCTTTGTTTGAGTATAGAGAAGCATGTCAACTGGATAAAAGTCATGAAGTTGAAGCAACCAAGACTGAGGTTGAAGAGGGAAAGACAAGAAATGCAACCTACTCGTGGCACCCTTCAATTACCCACAAAATGTTCTGTCTGTGCAGATATTGACGAGTGCCAGGGCTTTGACAGCTGCTGTACCCAGATCTGCAACAACAACCCTGGGGGCTACACCTGTGGCTGCCAGCCGGGATTCCTCCTCAACAGGGATGGGTGTTTGTGTGAAGGTCAGCCTTGGACACATTGGGCTTTTTTTTAAAAGGGGATTTAAGTTTCAAAAGAGTGAGTTTTTGCTTCGATTTTATTCTCATTGGTGGAGGTTTGCCGTTTAGTAGTGGAGGCAGGTAGGTACATACTGTAAATGAAAGACATAGACAGGTGAGTGGAAAACGCGATATAAAAATGAGAAACCCCCCGCAATATTTTGCGTTCACCCTATAACACAGGGTCAAGCAGAGTTAACCATTTATTATTTGTCAGTGATGATGATCAAAAGGCCAAATTGGGTCTGTTCTTTACTATATATAAAGTATTAATACTTAGTACCAGTGATGCTATGTATGATTTCCTCGCAGACAGTGACGAGTTTTGGTATAGTAAAGAATGAAATTGGATCTATTTTGTACTGTCTAGCGTTATATGTGCCATGACGCAGTGGAATCCGGCGCAAGTTTTGTTTTCTTTTTTTGCATGTGGAGTTATTCATTATTGGCATCATCTTAAAGCTTGGGGGGGGGGGGAGGGTGTTAAGTTTTCAATTTAAAAAATACCCATAATTATATTTCGATTAAAAGTCAAGATATTGGCCATTGAAGGAGGTGAGGGTCGGCTGGTTTCAGAGGTAAAATTAGCAAGACAATGGCACCTAAAGTTTGGTGACTTCCAAAGCTTAAGAGTCCTTGGAAACTACAAATTTACATTTTTCGTACCTTAAATCAATGATTTTCAGTCAAAGCCACACAGAAAGTTGTTTTTGAATGGATTCCAAAGGTGTTGAGCTAAAAAAAAAATTCGACAAAAATTTCGTAAAGTGCAAAAAATGCTGGTTTCTACAATTTCATTATTTTACCGAGCACCTGATTTCACCATGATGCCTCACGATGTTTTTTCCTCACAGACATTGACGAGTGTCTGAACGGCAATGGAGGCTGTGAGCAGCTCTGTGTCAATGCCGAAGGTTCCTTCTCCTGTGCCTGTAATACAGGCTTCGTCCTGTCCGGAAAACAGTGTCTGCGTGAGTATCTCCTCTCCCACCCACTCAGCTAATGCGAGTCATGGTGTACAGCACAGTACCCATTGGAACAATGAGATGTAACGTTTATTACCCTGAGATAAAACAGTTGTGGAAAAATGAGCACATAGTCATGCCAGACTTCAGCACATAGTCATGCCAGACTTCAGTGAAACTTCCAGGCCATAATGACATTTCGTGAGAGGACAGCAACTGCATTATGTATTTCTAAAACAATAAAATAAAGGCAATGTCACATCAGCAACTTTCAACCCGATTGCAATGCTTTGTTGTCTCTTTTTTTCTGAAAGTTTTTTATTTTTTGAATTCTTAATTGTATTGAGTTGTTATAAAATTTCTTGGAAACATTATTTCAGACTAAGAGCACACATATATATATAGGCCTATAGTCTCAGTTTTGCATGAAGATGAAATATAACTGAAACACTTAACAAGAATGTAGCAATATCATATTAAAAAGAAACATTTTTAAGACGTAATTGAGCTTTATGGTATCATCTCTGATGACAAAAGTCTTTGCTTCAGTACCGAAGGATTTTAGTTGTAACTCCTGTTTATTAATGATTAAGTTGTTTTTGGTTTATCTGTCTTTGCACTTGAATTGTTTACAAAGTTACCTGTTCGATGTTGTCTTCTTCCATTTTATCAAGGAAGTTCTTTTGATACTTTGATAGTTAAATGTAGATATTTGCAACTGCCTTTAGCTTAGCGAGCCACATTCTTGTTGTCTGGTTCAGTGGTAACTTGTCAAAAATGTTTATTATATTATTTTCCTCCGCATCTGTTTCTCATCACCAGATAGAGAGCTTTGATGACTGTCTCTGTATACACAATCTGACAATTTAAACTCATTCAGTAAACTGATTAATGCATTATTTATATTCTGATTCATTTACGTTTTCTCTGAAATCACAATGTTCTTCGTAACGGACTGAATGGTCTTATAATAGTCTTAGAATAATTGTCGTGCATGATCTAGAAGAAACAGTAAAAAAGATCTGGTGGTGTTTGAAATGCTTTTGTTGCCATATTTTGGAGGAGCTTTCTTTCCTTTTTTTTATCTCCTCTCTCTCCCCAACTCTCTCTCTCTCTCTTTTTCTCTCTCTTTCTCTTTAATTTCTGTGCATTCTTTGCTCTTTTGGCAAGTTTTATTTTTCGTGTTGTTTTCCCATTCTGTGTTGTGCCGGTGTTGTAGCGGCGAAGAGCCTTATCGAAGAAGACCCAGGCCCTCTGAGAGGAGACCTCCCCAAGATTCGCTTTCAGAGCAATCCCAAACCCGTACTGCCGGCTGACTCTGAGTTTGATGACATCCTCCTGTCCCAAGAGCTCTCCGATGAACAACCAAACATTTATAGTCAGTATTGAACCTTTTTTTGTATTGCCAGAGTGACATTTTGTTGCTCTTAGTGAGTTCTCTCCCAAGTTAGATATGAAATGTTTAACCGGATATGGACAGCAAGGATGGGTGCCCTGAGAAGTATATATTTTTTCTTTTCTTTTGGATAGTTATTATCTACAGGAAATTCAAGTACAGTCCAAGATGCCATTCATTGTCAAGGAGAAAAGGGATTATCTTAGTCAGATGGATGTCTTTGTACTGTCGTTATAATATTTATAAAACGCAAAGGGAGGAAGTGGGAGGTGGTCGTTAAAAACAAGTGGTTGTCTTGGCCAGGTGATCATTAAGGCAGATTCAAGTTTTTATATCTTTTCTTATAATTTAAGTGTACAGAGCTATTTTCTTGACACAAAATTCATGCTTTTGAGGAAGTGTTGAGAGGGGGGGGGTATAAAATTGTTAAATATCTTAACTTTTCAGGGCGGTGGGGTTATTTCTATTATTCTAGTTTTTTTTTTTTTTTTTTTTTTTTTTTCATTTTGAGGGGGGGGGGGGGGAGTTATGCCCATCCTTGCGAAACATTAACTTTCAAGACATTATTCAGTAACTACCGTAACATGTGTGATGTGCTACATTGCATGTGTACTCAGTATTTCTGCGCGAGAGGTAAGACTTTCGTCAAATGAAACATCTGCAGTGCATTTTCCGTTTGCCTGCTTTTCAGTTAGACTAATTTTATGAAGCTGTTATGTACTAACAATTATTGCATACCCTACAGTACTTAATAAATAACAGCAGTGAAACTAAATGGCTGAGAACATTTTCTTTTTTTGTCAGATGATCAACTTCCTTGAAGTAAATCCCTGGACCTAATTGTACCCGTACACTTGAATAAAAAAAACATATTCCTTTTAAACTGGGAAGTTAGGTCAAAGAATAACTGTACTGGAGTGATCCAAAGACATCCTGCCCACTCTGCATGAGAAAACGTGGACAACATTTATCTACATGTTGCATTTTGGTCTGATCGTTCACTTAATTAAAATGAAATAAAATAAAAATAAAAATAAAATAAAATAAAATAAATAAATTGAAATAAATTCCCCTTTTATTGATCCCCTTGAGGAGATTTGATTTACTATGGCTGAAGTAAAAAGATACATAGATGAATATAATATGCAATAACACATGTGTTACTGAATCCATAATATCACACTAATACAGACAGTAAACATGCCATTGCTGGTGGCCCGTGAACAGCGCTGTAGTTTTGAGCTAGGGTTTTGTCAAAGTCAAGGACACACCCCAATGACCACCCGTGTAAGCACCATCTCAATGACAGATGTCTGGCTTATGACCCTGTACTAACATTTCCAGCGCACCATCTCAGCTTTTGTTTTTTCATTCTGTTCCCTAGATGTATTTTTTACCGGGTCTGGTACACACAAAAAAATAGCAAGCAATCTAATGTAATGCTCTTTTTTCCACTTGGATATTCAAGACTGCTGGTATGAGAATATGGACCCTCTGTTAAGATTATACTGGAAGAAAAATATTTAGAGCTTGTGTATTCTTCAACATTGAACTTAGGTGCCAAATTCTTATTCTTATTTCACAGTTCAAACCTTTAAAAAAAAAGTCTACTGGGTCCTGTCATTTAAACAAACATTTATTTTTTGTTCTGTTGCTTTGTGTTGGATTAGAACATAAGAAATAAAGGTGACTTTGTCAGGAGGGCATGATAGCACAGCCGCTGTTGGTGTCTGCATGTTATCTTCCACAAACATCTAGCTTTCAACGTTTGTAATACTCCAGGTCTTTATCAAATTTTCCACAATCTTTTGTGGTTCTTCTTCCAGTCTGCTCCAACACTACTCCTGTCTTTGTGTGTGTTATTCTTCCAGCCCAGGGCCTGTTGGTATTTTGACGTGTTCATAACCGTTATAAAGTTTTATTTCCGGTCACACTGAGTCTGTTGTGATTTTTCCCCCCCATACTGTGTCGTCTGACCTTTTCTTGTTGTCTGGCACCACTAGTAGGTCCCACTTCTATCTTTCATCTTGTTGTTTCTTTCTTTCATTCTTTCTCCAAGCACTGAATGACCACTATGTCACCGTGCCAACAAACAAAACAAATTCTTGCTGTCTGATCTACTTCTGTTGTCAACCCCATTAATTTGTCATGTTCGTGCACTTTTTTATTGTTTCCATAGGTTCTCTCACCTCGACACTCTTTCAGTCATGCCATCCTTTTCTTTTGTTTTCTGTCAACCCATTTCCTCTTCTCGGCACTGTGATACATAGTCTGTACATGTTCTTATCCTCCCCCTCCCCCCCTCACATCTCACAAAAATGTTTATGCTATTGTGATCTATTTATTAACGTCCATTTAAAAGATCAATACCTTTTGTTCTGTGCAGTGTGTTCCTAAACCTTACCTCCTTCTCATCTAAGTGCCCCACACACTGTCTTTTCCCAGCCTCCTTGCCACACAATCAGTGGTACAAACAAGTTTCAAGTTTCCTTGTCGTTGTGGCATAATGTGACCAATTATTGTGTCTTTTAACTTCAGCTCTCAATTCATCTCTCAACATTTTCTGTAAATACGTTTTACTTATCTTTCTGATCTTTTCTCTCTCCTCATTTTGTGCATGTATTTGAAACATGTTGTGACTCAGATGTCTTGCTCATGTAGCAGCAGTACACTATGATGTCTCCTTGTCCCAGACACTGTCGTCTTTGTCCTAAAGTAATGATGCCTCCCTGTAGGCAGGCTCACTGACACTAGCAACTGAATGTTGTCTGATGAAAGGATTAAGATATTTCATATTAGGCTACATATTAAGATTTGTATTCATTGGGGGGGGCGGGTTGTTTGTTTGTTATGATTTTTTTAGGGAGAGGGGCGAGGGGGTTAAAATTTCTGTTGAGCCATTCCCGAATTCTTGCTATTCTAAAAGTGTATGTTTCATATTCGTTTTTTAAACTAGGATATAACAGCTCTTAATTGCATGACTTTTTAAATTCCAATAAATGCCCGTACCTCAACTCGATTGTCTTTAACTATTGAACTTTTTACACTCTGCCCCAACTCTCTCTGTTCTCCCAACACTGCATCCGTGCACGGCATTTTGTTCTTTTTTGTTTGTTTTTTTTGTATTTACTTGATGTGTTGCTTTGCAGTTCTGCATTTATTTTGTATTGTTGTTAGTTGCAAGGTTTTGTATGAGATTGAACCCCTTGCATGCACTCCAGGAAGCCGTTCAGCACACGCTGCTTCTTGCGGATCTCGTTGTATACCCACTAAAATATCATGTTTCCTTTCCTCCCTTTGCCAACCCTAGGAAACAAATCCGGTAAGCTTAACCCACTACTGTGCATGTTTTCTGATTTCTTGTTGTGAACAGGAATTGTTTGCATTGAACTAACGACTGTGTAGAACTGATCTGTAACCTCATACTTGGTGTTGCTGGTATCTAACATTTCATTCATCATCTTTCGCTTTCTCGAAGGATGTATATATTCCTTAAGTGGATCATGTTGAAGTTGTTCTCTGATCTCACTCAACATTGATATTCAGAAACAGCTTCTTGTTATGACATTTTTTTAAATAGGATTTCCATGAAGGAAAGAGATTTTGTCACATGTCAAATCATTTTTCACACAGACAAGAGTTGCCAAAAATTGTACTCAATCCACAAAGTTGTCCTGCCAGCTCGTGGTTTTTCTCAGACGTGTAGTTTGATATGTGGACTGCCTTGCCTGTCACTGCATTTTTTTTAGATGGAATGGTTTGGGAGAATGGTACGGTAACTTTTTTCAGAGTGGTGTAAGAATTAGTCACAATACATACCTCTTTAACACCATGATGACCACTCGTCCAGTGGCAGGCAGATCAGTCAGGACTGACTGCCAATTGCTATGCTTTCTCAGAAAAACGTACTTACGACTACATCTAGAAAAGGTTTAGTTTAAAGGCTCACGTGTCTAGCAAACAAACAAAAATAAAAGGATGTCGTGTTTACTTCTATTAAGAGCATATTTGAAGAATTTAGAATGTTAGACAAGGTTGTCTGAGAGCCTTCCTCTATGGAAGTATTTTCATAGCTAGTCCCGAGAGGAAAACCTCCAAGAGTGCTTTTAGGCAGTCACTTAGGTGTCAAACTCATCCTACAACTGACTCTTGGCTGCTAGATCTATGTTTTGCAAATGTAATATTGAATTGTAGTTTACATAGTTTATTGGCAAATGAATTGATGCAAGTTTGTAGTCAATTAATTGGAATATGAGTATAATATAGCGTCACTTTATGGATTACTTTCTCTATGTACTTGCTTTTGTACCAGAAATCAGCTTGTTCAAGGAGTATTTGCTTGCTGATTCATCAGATGTGCTAGACCCTTCTCTGTAACTCCTCTTTAAAAGATCTGAGAGAGGTGCTGTTTGGCTGTCCATATTTCACCTGTAAAAAAAATGTCATTTCTTATTGGGGGTGGGGGGGGGGGGTTGTGAGGGGGAGGGTATGGGGTGGTATTTCTTTTTTTACTTCACACTTTCAGGGTGTCTTGCAATGGTTCTGTGTTCTTAACATCATTCTATTTTCCCTCCTCCCCCCCCCCTTCCAACCAACACTAAGTTGCCATAGCTGTGTTAGTGTGATTATTTTTGAAATGCTATTTCAAAGCTTGAAACAGACCCCCATCTGTAGTGTATTGATCATTCTATGTTCACATATGGATCCTTGAAATTGTGCGATGTCACAGTCTTGTGATCCTTTCTTCCAATGGCAGCATTTTGTTGGCTTTTAAGAGAAAGGAGTTGACCCACTTTCAAATTTGGATCAGGAAATTTCCAGAAAAAGATGCACATAACTTGAATAAGCTTTCTCTTGTGTTCAATGTATTTTTTTTTTCTTGTTTCCTTACTCAAGACTTTTCTGTATTGTATTAGCCACGTTTGGACACCACTGAAAAAATATCTTATTCAGTATTGACAAGCTTTTTCTGATGGTTCATATTAAATGTAGCACCTAATATTTCTGGAAATGATATTATTGTGTCATTTGATGTGAAGGCCAGCAAGTGAACGAACCATATTTGCTTATCATGGTGATTCTTTTCTTTTAAATGTAATTATGAGTGTTAATTAGGAGATTATCGATGATCTAAGTTCCCATTTGCTTCCATGGTATCTTTCAATGATTTTGTAGTCCTAGTGCAAAGTTTGCTGTGTCAGAATAGTTGAACCTGTCCAAGACGACCGCTCATTGAGGAGGATGAAAAAGGTCATCTTAGACATGTGGTCCTCTTTGACAGTGTCTGTTAGAATACAGAAAAACACAAGGGAGAAAGTGGGTACTGTTCATTTGTACAGTTGATTGTCTTGGACAGATGGTCGTGAGAGAAGGTTCAGCTGTATTATATCACCCAGGGAACTAGAACGTTCCCTCACCAAAGATTGGTTTTGTCTACTCAATGAAATATCTTCTAACACCGTTGGTGTCTGATGCTATCGTTGTGTTTGTTGATAAGTCTTTTATTTTACTCTGAGGCAATGTTTCACCTCCTTTTGCAAACAATGAATTATGGATGAAAGATTTTCTATAATGTTGGCTTTTGCTTACATATCTGTTAATCGCAGTATGAATGTTGGGTATAGGGTGCTACTGAAAATATTATGGCACTGTTTATGTTGCTTTTCATTTTAACTTCGATGCAGTTTTTGACAATTGAACAAAACAAAGATAAATGGCTTTCTATCGTGGTTTTGCTGTAACAGAATAAAGTAAGGCGTAGAAGAGTCTATAATAGACAAAGGTGAGCTTCCCAAAGAACTAACAGCATTTTCTTCTGTATCACTGCAAATACTCCGAGAATGAAGCGTGTCATGGTTATAAGGTGATGTAGGGCTGGGATTGATATGAGCGAACTGCTAATGCTTTCAAAACTGAATATATATATTTTTTGTTTTAAATCTTTCCTACTGCTTCTTGTTATGTATTGTTGGAACTGATTCAATATACTGCTGACACTTTCAAAGCTGAATATCATGTTTATCTTCTCTACTGCTTTCTGCCATCTATTCTCTTCTTTTCTCCTTAGTCTAGTCTGTTGATTAATTAATTGGACTATTTCGTTTCTTCTTGTACTCACTTCCCTCGTTATTGGTTTTTTATTTCTTCTTGACTTTACTTTTTCAAGATGCTAGTTGGTTAGTTGTGTTATTGGATAATGGTGGGAGGCGCACAGTCAGCTCAGTTGGTATTATACCGAACATAGTGGATGGCCCCAGTATAAAAATACTTTAGTGAGTTTTTAAGGGTTTCCACCTATTTGGCTCAATCCTATTGAAGATGGGCATTAAATTTGGAGGTCCCATCCCGCCTCTGAAATAACCTTACAGTATTGGAAGGGAAGTTGATCCTATACAATGACAGTTGTTGTGGGACAGATTACCGTCCACTTGTTAGGTGATGTTGTCTCAAACACCCAAGTTTGACGTATTTCTTCACTGAATTTACTTTTCTGTTGCTTTGTTTATCCATCTGGGTTTTGTTTTTCTTAAGGTTTTTTTGTCGGAGGCATATGTGAAGTTATTTTGATTCATATAATACATTATATATGGGTGGTTGGAAGGCATTACTGGTAGTTGCTGTTTTTTTCTGGGGGGGGGTTCATTTCTTTTCTTATTTCGTTTTTGTATTTCATTCTTGCTTTTCCCCATTGTCATATGTGCTTCTCTTTACTCAAACAATAAATTCATGTATACGGTAATGTTTGTACACACATGTATAAATACACACTGTAATTAACTTATGTTTTTATCCCTGTCCCCTGCCTTAAAGACAGAATTATTCTGTACCACGGTCATCAAAATGTGACTTTGATTCTCAAGAGGGGAAATTTTAATTATTCTATATTCAAGTATCTTCTTTGTGTCTGTCTGCTGGGATGCAGTGTCCCACTCATCCCAGGTTGGCCCTCACAAGCAGGGTTGAAGCAGCCCGCCTCCTAAATAATCTAAGTGAATTGTGTGGATTTGGCAGTTATTCATTTACAGAACAAACACATGTGATGACTAATAGACCACACAGCTGGTGGTTGGAGGGCATCATTGTAGGTTCTTCATGTCTCCTCATCCTCTTGTTTCTCTCAGTTCTTTTTTTCCCTGCACAAAATGAACCTTATTATGTCAACGTAGCTCTTTACTCAGAAATCAAACCACACACAGCATTGTGCTCACTTTCTAACCTTCGACGTCTCCTACAGGATGTATTCCTGGCACGTTTGGCCCAGACTGTCGGTTCAACTGCCAGAACTGTATGAACGGTGCCCGCTGTAACGGTCAACAAGACGCGTGCATGTGTCGGCCTGGTTGGAGAGGACTGCTGTGTAACGAAACCTGCCCAGAGGTGAACACAATTAGATAATAAAACATGGGAAAAGATAGGAAATAATAATTTGCTATATGACAATTTTCTATACAATAGGGTATGATATTATGGTAAGATAAGATCAATACGGTACAACTTCTTTCATATTTTCTTGTTAGGGTACTATGATTTCACAAAGTCTCTTGGCTAATAATAGCTTGTTTTGTAAGTGTGTGTGAAGTTATCCTTACCTTATCTTCAGTGTTTAGTGTTATGGATACAGAGCAACTGGGCGCGCTCATATGATCTTATCCAGTTGCAAGCGCCATAAAAGTCTTACTAAAACTAAAGAGCAACGGTTCCAAGCCCGTCTTGTACCTACTGACACATCTCATTGTCACATTTTCTTAGCTTTGGATGCTCATAGATACAAAAACAATACACAGAGAAGGGACTTGTTAGCAAGCTAATCAACTGTTCTAAACCAAGAAAGCAACATTTTTCAGGCCAGAGAAAAAAAAAACTGTTCCATTCGTGCCTACATTATCTTTTTTTGCTTTTTTCCACATTTAGAATTTGAATTTCTTTGAACCTTCTCTCTAGCACAACCAATATCACAGATTCAGAAACTGCACTAAAAAAAGGTGTTAAAAAATTTTGGGCTTAGTACATATGAACATTGATCAAATGTAGTTCATCGGTCAGTTATTCAGGCCTGAATATCCTTATGTTCTCTACAACATTGGTCTTCGTCAGACAATGATGGAAGAACAATTATTATTTTATTATTATTATTATTATTATTATTATTACAATAATTATATTATTGTTATTAGTAGTAGTAGTAGTAGTAGTAGTGTTATTATTATTATTATTATTTTTATCCGAAAGTACTCATTATTGGTGTCCGACTTCAAACTGTGTGTCGAGGGCTCAAAAGGCACTAGAATGGAGACTTGTGCTCAGAAGCATTTTGTTCTAAGGTAATATGCTAGTGTTACTGGTGTAAGCCTGCAAGTTTGTCATCACTCACACTGAGTGCGTTGTTCCCTCTATGGATATCATGCTGGACTGTGGTTCAAGTCCTCAGAAGGCATTCTCAAGTTTGAATTGTTTGGAGAGTTTTGAAGACTCTCCACCCACATGGATGAAAATCAATTTAGTGTTCAAAAGGAGGTGACCAGCATCCGTGGTGTAGCAGCTAGAAGCTTCGCTGAGGCACACAAGAGACTCAAGTTCATTTCCTGAGTAAAGAGAATTTTTATGCGAGTATCTCGGTATACATGGTCAAAGCCCGCCTCCTAAATGATCTAAATTTTGTGGATAGAGGCAGAAAAACACATACATTTTAAAAAAGAGAAAGAAAATGGCGTTAAGAATATACAACTACCACCCAACCATCGCCCACAGTAACAATTTCTTGTGTGAATGTGTTTCCCCTTGCTCAGGGTACTTATGGCAACGACTGCAACTCCTTGTGTCGCTGTAAGAACGGTGGCCAGTGTGATCATGTGACCGGTCAGTGCAAGTGTCCTCTGGGTGTGGAGGGAGAGTATTGTGAGGATGGCTGCCCTCCAGGCTTCTACGGAGACGATTGTGACAAGGTATGACTTCTCTCTTTGGTCTAGATCAGTGCTTGCCAACCAGGGCAATATCTCCCACTTGTGCAGGATTTGGTAATTTTGGTGAGTGGTGGGGATCACTCAGGTAAGGACGGGTGTTATTTAATGTCCTGTTTGGAAATACATTTAGATGGGTGGTACAAGCATTTTAGCCTCTTGTCTTAAGGATGTTGGCTATAGACAAGCAGTGCTCTAGATGTAGGTCTTCCCTTTCATAACAAAAACTCGTGAACTAAGATACCTTTTCTCTGTCCTTTTTTTTTGTGGTTACAATTTGAAAAGATAATGATCTATTCGCTTGTGATTTCAAGAAGTTATTCGTTACATTATATTACTAAAACACATTTTGGAGGGGGTGTTTTTTAACGAAGTAATCAAAGGGAATCTCAAGTATGTTGAAAATTAATTTTTGGTATAAATATAAAACATTTAAGTATGTATATATATATATATAATATATTAATAAATAATGGTAGATTTTGGCTTGCTTCTCTGGAGAATAGGCTTTCTATTCTTTGAGTTGCAAAATGTTCCTTACCACTACTCTGATAGCCCAGCTTAATTAAATGAAGAAAACACGCACTCATCTACCCCCTCATCCCCTCCCCCCACACACACACGACCATCTGCTAAGTTATCTGGATTAAGTTCATCATGCAAACTGAAAAAAGTTGAATTCAGATTGACTGCTGAAAGTGTGTGGACTGCCTCTGTCCATTGCATCATCCGTGGACTTGAAGCATAATCCCTCCCCCCTTCCCCATCCCCCTTCCACTCTTCTAGATTTGCCCACAGCCATGTGCTAGCGGCTACTGCAACAGGAAGTACGGTTTCTGCAACTGCATGCCAGGAAAGTTTGGTCCCTCGTGTAACAAGCCATGCCCATTGTTCACGTACGGCTCCAACTGCATGAGTCAGTGCGACTGCAGCACAGACTACTCAGACGGCTGCAATACTGAGGTTTGTGTGTGTGTGTGTGTGTGTGTGTGTGTGTGTGTGTGTGTGTGTGTGTGTGACTGCTATACAGACTACTTAGATGGCTGCAATACTGAGGTGTGTGTGTGTGTCTGCATGTCTGTGTGTGTGTGTGTGTGTGTTATTATCTGTGTGTCTTAATTCGTGAGCATCTCTGTGTGAATGTGACTGTGTACCTAAGTGTGTGTGTGCGTGTGTGTGAGAGTCTGTAAGTGTACCTGTGTTGTGTGTGTGTGTCGGGGCCAACCCGCACTGAGAGGGATACCAACATCCTTGCAGAAAGACGTAGATACTCAATAACAATTCTCCCTATATTGGAGTCAAACTCAGATCTTTTGCAAGCGACGACAAACCCCTACCACAGACGCCAGTTGTATGAGATCCATATTTGTTTTTTCTTGACTCACAGACAGGAGAGTGTATCTGCAAATCAGGATACGAGGGTCGTCGCTGTGAGGATCAGTGTATCGATGGCTTCTACGGGCCAGGCTGTGAAGAACGCTGTGACTGCCCGGATGACACCCGCTGTAATCATGTGACCGGTCACTGCCTCAGGGACTGCCCGGCTGGATGGACGGGTCAGCGCTGTGAAGAATGTAAGTACTTGTGGGAGGGGGTCGCTATGGGGTGGAGAGGGGGAAGAAGTGTGAAGGTCCTGTTCTGTACTCAAGTGTTTTTCCCTCAAACTCGATAGGTTTCGACAAATTCCCTCCCTTTGCCTTCAGCAATAATGTCAAGAAGGCAGGTTTCAATAATCTGTTGTAATTTTGTGGATAGATTTCTGCTTTCAGTAGAGTTCTGTTTTTGTGGTTTCAAATGAAAGTGTTTCAGTTTTCAGTTTTTCTGACAAAAATTTTTGGGGGTAAGTTGTTGGGGATGTTTTTAGGTACAATCTACAAGTTTGATGACTGACAGTGTTTTTCTTAGGTTATGTTGATTGTGCTAATTTAGTTGTGTTTGCTTCTCAAATGTTATCTTGATGTAAGTGTGCTTGTTCGTAGCTTCATGTGTCTCTTTAGGACTTTAGGGTTATTTCCCTTTTATCAGACTCTATCAAAGCGCATAATGATATAACATGTCTACTATGTGTGTTTGATGAAAGCAAATAGCCGTAAAAGTGTGCTTTGGTTGTGTAGTTGTCTTTGTGAGTTCAGGTGTGTAGCTGAGTGTTGTATATGTCTTGTGTTCACATTAGTGTTGTGTCAGTTTAAGTAATTTATTACTGTCCTGGCCAGATAAATGGTCTTGACAGGGTCATTTTTTTCTGCCTCTGAGGTTAAAGTGTAAAAATTTTTTGAATACTTTTGTCACAGATTTGCTCCTCTCTCTACTATTTATGTCAAGATTTTTCAAAATGTCGTCATTGAATGGTTGTATCCCAAGGTCGAACTGAACTTTTTTAAAATTGGGTTGGGATCATTAGACCAGAAATATGCAAAACTCTACTTGTGTGGGATGTTTCAAATACATTTTTTGTACAACAAAACATGGGGGGTTTTTTTATGAATAGGATCCCAGTGGTTATTTCTGCCATCGTGCTTGTTAGTTTGAGAAATTTTTAGGTCAGCTTTCTTCTGATGGAGGCTATACTGGATTGAGTTTCTGTTATACTGTGCACCTTGCTCTAGTGATAGTGAATAAGCTGAAGGAAATAACAAGCTTTATACCTCTAAGAGTGACCTTGTACTGTCTACACACACACATGAATACACTAACGTGTAGTACCAGCCACTTGTTTGTTTTCCTCTCTATTTTTCCTGTTCGTTATCTTGTTTTCTTTCCCAGCTTTCATTGTGTTAGTGTGCTTACTTTCGAAGAAACAATTTTTTTGTGGTCCTCTTTGTGTGTTTGTGTGTGTGTGTGCTGTGTTCGTGTGTGTATGGCTTGTCCAACTGCAGTGCATGCTCACAGCTCTGTGATCATTCCTGAAAGGTTGTAATCTTTGCATTTGACCACTATGGTATTTATTTTTCTCTGATGATTTATAAATGAAAATTGAACTTTAGTATAAAGAGGGAAATGTACATGTTCTTTTACAGCATCTAAGTTATCTATTGTCAGTGCTCTATTGGCACTTCATTAAGTCAAATTTTAAGATTTTATAGGAGTGACCAAAAACCAGAAAGTCTGTCTACCATTGTCAATATGAACACTTGTGCAATGAAATTTATGTCAGTGAATTGTGGTGGACCTTAAGCAAAATCCTGCAGTAAAAGTATGTGTTCTACCTGAGAACATTATTACGTGATCTGAGTGAGTGACAAAACATCCTGTGATTAGCGAGGTTTTCCATTTCAAGCGCTGCTCTGGCTGAGGGTAGAACAGTGGGTTACATGGCTTGAGGTTGCTCTGGACTAACCTCGTTAACTTTGAGTTGTCTTTAAATGCACTTTTTCAACAAGCTCTGGCTCGTTTTGTGATATCCTGCGGACTATTATATATTTTGTGTGGGTGAAAATATCTTTGCCCCTCAAAACATGAAGTGAAATTGTTAAAGTAAGTAACCTCGTGGAGGAAAAAAACAAGGTTTACTGACACATTGCATTTGACTGGTGCTCTCCTATAACCTCGCTATACCACGTAGGCAGCTTCAAAGGATGAAACATGTCAGTGTGGTAGATGGCATCTGGTAAGGTTCATACAGAATTTAAAGTGTATTTTCAAGCCTATATTTGATTCTGGATTTAATATTCACCATTCATACACATTTTATAGCAAGACATCAGGAATCTTTTGGTGCAAAAAAATGATTTTCACCCAAATTCAAGTTATTTCATCAGAGCACTGACATTATGTATCTTGTTATCTCTCTTTCAAGAAATAGCAATTTTCTTTTTCAGACTTGAATGAAGAATTTCAACTATCTGAATTGCCTTCTTCTTGTGTTTAAAGATGGGGAATAAAAAGCTCAATTTCTTTGGAAAAGGACTGAATAAAATAGAACACCACTTTAATTGTGGCAAAATTTTGATAACAGTGGCAAGCTTGAGCTGTAAAATGAAATGAATTCTACTCTTTTTTATAAGATACAGGTTGACAGCAATTTATGCTAGAAACCAATCATTTTTGCACTTTCTGACAGTTATAGGACTCAAGAAACTGACATGCTCAAAAATGTAGGTTCAACTTTGACGGACTCTGAAATTGTTCTTCCCCTTAAGAGAAAAAGAATCATTAACAGGCTTTCGAAATGAGCTAAGCAGTTTCATGAAGAGCAAAAAGAATAAATGTGTTTTGAATTGTCTGTCTATAAGCCCTCCCTCTTGCCTGCAGTTTGCCTGCATTTGCTTGTCGTGTGTTTTGCTTGCGTCTGTGTCCCGGGGTGCACCTTGTTTGAGTTTGTGAAATGTATAATGGAGACAATCATTTTGAAAGGGAAGTAGGTTGTCTTGACATATTGCCATCAGTTTGCGGAACATTTTTAGAGCTTTAATTTGAGTTTCTTGTTTGTTTGTTTATTTTAGTCTCTCTTATTTACTTTCCATGCAACAATTTTATTTGTTTGTGTTCATGAATACCAAAATGTTTCGTTGATTTTTTAAATATTTTTTTTATTGTTGAGAACAAGGTCGTTGTGAACTTTCAAAAACTCTTTTTAAAAAACAGAAAGAATTTTTTTTAAACCGTTCAGAAATCTCTTACAGATCAAAACTGACACCTTTTGATTAATGAGGTAACCTAAACAAACAGCCTTTGATTTCGCTTTTCTGTGTACCATATTATGTTTCAGATTTTACTTTTTTCTTAAATACTTGTTGGAGACAACAAAAATGTTTATATCAAATTGGAAACTTCTTGTTTTGAAGAAGAGAAACAAATAAATGCCACTTCTCTCCGAAGCTGCTCTTTTTTTTTTCCTTGGTGCACATTCTGCTGCATTAAAGTTGTAAGAATTATACTCAAATCATAGGGGATTATAATGAAGTTGCATAAGCCTTTGGGGGAGGGAGACGAATACTTGCCTATAAATGAATTTCTTTAATTCAAACTTATTCAGATCAGAAGAAGAAACTCATTTTTAAAAAAAAAAATCTACAATAAGTTTATCATGAGAGTGGCTATTTCATAAAAAGAATTTAGGAGATAAATTTATTTTCTGTTTAGAATGTTCTTCATATTCATTTTACCTGTGCTTGATTATTCAGTTAAAGCTAGCGTTAAATTGGCTTTTCTGTTTTGATGATAATTACATGTACTTTTTGAGCGACATAGCCGTTCTGTTTGACACTTCCAATTGCTGATTTATTTGTTATTTTGTTGCTTCTTTTGTTTGTTTTTTTACTTTTAATTTGACCCCTCCTTTGTATGCTCCTTTCTATATCTCCCTGTCCCCACCTCCCCTCTTCCCGCACCTGTCCCTTGTTGTGCCACCACGTGCGTACCCGCCCACCCCACCCCCGCCGATGACCAACCCCCTCCCACACTATGTGCCCCTGCGCTCACCACCAACCCATCTTCCTGCCGACTCACCACCCCACATTCGTGTGTGTGTGTATGGCCTTGTCCAGCGTGCCCGCCGGGAACCCATGGGAAGCACTGCAAGGACAGGTGTAAGTGTGCCGGCAACTCGTGCGACCCCGTCACAGGACAGTGTATTTGTGCGGCCGGATTTCACGGGCGGAGGTGTAGAAGACGTGAGTTGTATACCCAATCAAGACTGAGGACACATACACACCCCCCTCTCCCCGGTCCGTAAGAGTCATAGACTGTTTGTACTATTAAAAGCTCAACGAGTCTATGGTGAGAATAAAAAACAACCTGTATTCTAAAGCATTCTGATAAATAAGTAATACTACAGAGATCCTGTTATATATATATATATATATATATATATATATATATATATATATATATATATATATATATATATATATATATATATATATATGTCATAGACAAGCTATCAATAGCTTTAGTATATGGTGAGAAAATAAGACAATCTGTTCTACAATCTTGTAATAAACATGTAATAAAAGATATGTACCTGGTGTATGTATAAATAGTAATGAGTTGATAAGCGGAATATTTCCTTAGACTTATGTCATAAAATGAGAAATAAGAATAGCTTGAGTAAACTTGCCAAGACCTCTAAAAATGAAAAGATTTGTGCTTATAGGATTATAAGAAAACCACAAGGATGACCTGTTCTGTCCTGTCAGATTTCTATTGCACTTGCAACAGTTTCATTCACAATATATCATGCTCTCCTTTCGGAATCACAGATTTTGAAAACAAAATACTGCAAGCGCTATATGGAAGGGGTTGTAAAAGAAATAAAAATAACAAAACAGTCTTTGTCATAGTTTTCTGTAAGATTTGAGCCTAATAATGGTGCATTTGTGTAGCAAAAAGTAGGATCTGTGCACTTTCTTCAAAGTCATTAATTAGTTTTTTAATATCTGGATACAGTTATTTTCTAGGATGTCAGGATACACAAGTAGGACAAATAGGGCACAAGTAGTAATGTTGAGCTTGAGTTTTTCCATACTTTTCTCTCCTGTTGACAAACCAGACAGCCCCTTATTGTCCTATATTTTATGTTCTTATTTGTGGTCACTTTAATTTGTTCCCAAGTCTTTGATGCATGCTGCTGGATGTTTATTATCTTAGTAGAAATACACTGCTATTTCTTTGCTTTCCATTTCCTAAAGTATTTGTTTAATGCATTTATATGTGTTGGATCGGCGTCTGTGGTGTAATAACTATTAGGCTTTAGGTCATTGCAAGTAAAAGATCTGAGTTTGATTCCCATGTGGTGCTGTCTATTGCACTGTGTTTCTCGACCTTTTCTGATATGATGCTGTGTGCAACTCTGCCTTAGTTGAGACTGACACGAATGGGTTGACTCAACCTGTCTCGTAAATGTTCTGAATTATGTCACCAAAGACATCATTTATATCCATGACCATGTCTTTGTTAAACTGGGGAGTGGTTGGAGGAAAACAAATTTGATGGAGCCTGTGTTTTAACACATTTAGTGCTGTGTATGGAACTTCCCTGTGCGCATGATTCATCTTCGACTGGCAGCGCACAAGGATTCCACATTAGAAGTGATACCTCTGACACAAATATTTTGTGCTGGGAAAACCTGAAAATTTGCTTGAGCGTGGGAAGTCACTCTTGGCAAATTTCCTAGGTATGAAATGAGTCAAAGTACAATAGATGGCGCGTTTAGTGTAGAAGCGCATGCAAGCCTCACCTCTAACACTGGTAGTTGTCTCCTCTTTGTGAGACAGATCACAACTTAACCGACTCAGTGACGTGCATCACACACCTGCATTCTGCCACACACTTGGACTTGCTTTGTGCTTATCCAGCACCCACCCCTGCCCTTGCCCCCCTGACCCCTGACCCATGATGCAATGCTTGTCATTGTTTGCAGGAACTGCCCCGAGTTGCAGGTCCTTCTTCTATAATGATTTTGTTTTCATGCCTTTGCCATGACTGCAACCATCAGTTGATTTTACAGTTTACAAAAACATCCAATATACATTTGGGATTCTTTCGTTTTTTTCAAACACAAGGGGATAGGCTTTTTAAGAAATAATTTGGGTTTTCAGAGCTCTCTGGATTTTGGCTAATGATATGTAATACATGTGTTTTGTATGTATATGTCTGACTAGTGCTGTAAATATTTGTTTTGTTTGTTTGGTTGAGATGGGGGGATGTCTTTATTCTTCATTTGTGTCATCAAATGTGCTGTTCAAGAACTGAGATTCTATCGTGTCTCATTTTATTTTTTAAAAAGTACATTCTAAATGATATGGAGATATCTGGATGTACACTGTATACGATTTTGTTAATATTCTTGCATTTCAATTTATTTTTTTTAATAGAAAAAAAAACATGAATGAATGTGTTAAAATTTGTGTGCTTGCATATGCCAGTGTGTGTATGTCTATGTGGACCTCTAATTATGTGTATGTGTCTATACATTTGTATGTGAGAGTGGGAAGATGAGAAAAGAGATAAAGAGAGAGAATAGAGAAAGAAATGCAGATGCATCACATCACGCGTTGTTGTGTCAAAGACTGAGGCAGGGGGTTTTATGCTAATGTCTTTCTTGATGTGCTGTATCTGCTTTGTGTAATATTTCTTATTTCTTCCATTCTCTCCCTCTGATCAGTGCTTAATTCCTTCATCATTATCGTCACCATGATCATCATCACCATCATCACCTTTCTCACCCTGAACCAGGGTGTAGGCCACCAACAAACACTTTCTATTTTTTTCCTCTATTTCTTTCTACTATCGTGTGCTTTCTTTAGTTGTGACTTTTTTAAATCGTTGTTCTCTGTGTAGGTCTCTTTAATCATACTGATATATCAATGGTTTTGCAGACCATGGAAGCAACCCCACAGGATGAGATCCTCCTTCCAAACTTCTTTTTTTTTTGTCTTCTGGGGCGTTGAACTCTTTACTCCTGCTAAGTCAACTGTGGAATTTATGTCATCATTTAAAAAATGTTTATGATTTCTATCCCTTACCATTTTACAGCGTGTGTTTTGTTCATATTTTGTTGATGTACTTTTTGAAAACTCAATGAGGTGCAAGATTAGCTGGATACACAAACTCAGTTTGAGCTCAGTTTGTATTATGCTGGGCTGTAGTGTAGATGACTAGTTCGAATCCCCAGTGGGACATTGTTTAATTTTGGCTGGTTGGAAAGTTTTGAAGGATCTCCTGCTACTTGAGTCAGACCTTTCAGAGAGCGTTGTTGAATTGGAAAGGCCAGCCTCATAGATAAAGGTGCAGTGTTGTAAGTGGATGTTAAACTCATAACATATCATATTCTAGGAGATTCAACTTTATAAAATACTCTGTGTCTCCATATTTTTCCACTGTAAGATAGCAATTTCCAAGTTGGGCTTGTAGGAAGATTATTTTCCCTGGTTATTTTTTGCTAATTTTGTGTACATAATTTTGTTTCCTGGTAGCTTGCCCTGAGGGCAGCTGGGGCATCAGCTGTAAGAACAAGTGTGTTTGTGAGAACGGCGCCCCCTGCGACAAGGTCACTGGGGAATGTATCTGCCTGGACGGTTGGTACGGTCCACATTGTCATGAAGGTTAGCATAAGTTTGCAAAATGACTACTGCTCTTGTTGGTGTTTTCTGTGTCTGCTCATTTGTATGTGAGAGTGGGAAGATGAGAAGGGAGATAAAGAAAGAGAATAGAGAAAGAAGAGCAGATGCACCACGTCAAAGGTTGTTGTAACTTTGTCTTGTGTACTAAAATTCCAATATTTGAAACATTTGTACATTTATTGAAGTCATAAGGTTGATATGCTTTCTTCTTGTTTACAAAATTGTTCCTGCTTTTGTTGATGTTCACTTTGTTCTCTTCTTGTTGGAGTAAATTACGCCCTCTCTCCTTGTTTGTTGTTATTGATATATATTATGCTCTCTCCTTGTTTGTTGTTATTGATATATATTATGCTCTCTCCTTGGTTACATATTGCTACTGTTGTTATTGATATATATTATGCTCTCTCCTTGGTTACATATTGCTACTGCTGTTATTGATATATATTATGCTCTCTCCTTCTGTTTGGATCTTCTCAAAGTGACCTAGTGAGAGGTTTAGCTGTTTGTTGGAGATCGTCACTGATAAATCCATCTTGTTTTATTTCCCTCAGTTGCTTATATCTATCAACTTACTTTTTCCTACACCAAATGATTGTTGTTTCTTTTTGCTCAAACTAAAAGGCCGCTCCGTATTTATGTATATCCATCAATGCTCTACCCACATGATTTGAAGAAACAAATCAACTCGTTTGTTCTAAAGCCATAACCAGGTTCAAACTGTGAGTCCTCAATAATAATGAGTCACCATTCACTACAAATAGTATGAAAGTACAGTGGGCAATATTTTCTGTCTTCTCTCTTCATTTAGATTAAATATGTAATGAATAATTGTCAAAAGCCATTTACACAATTGGAGCATAACATCATAGATATGTAACCTCAGTACCATAGTGTGACCTATAAGTTGGTGTGTTTCAGTGTGTCCTAAGGATAGGTTTGGCCCCCAGTGCATGATGCGCTGTATGTGTGAGAATGAGGGTCACTGCGACCCACGTGACGGTACCTGCACCTGTCAGTCTGGCTGGACCGGACAAATCTGTGACAGAGGTGAGGACATTGCCCCTGATGTCAATTGGATTTCCTTTATCATCACTGTCAGAACACAATTATTTAAGTCTTTTTTTTTCAGGTTTCTAGTTATGGTAGAAATGTTTGTTACTTATTTTGTGTCCTCAGTTTAGCATAATTAACTTTGTCTTGTGTACTAAAATTCCAGTTACTGAAACATTTTGTAAATTTTTTTTGGGGGGGGGAGGGGGGAGGTTTTGATAAAGTTTTTTTTTAACTACGAAAAGCTGAGATAAGCATCTGTGTTATGAAAGTGGAGTTCTTGTTGATATTTTTTTTATTTGAGCATGTTCCTCTATGGTTCCCACATAAGCTACTTGGAGAAAAATTCCTTTGTTTGCCGCACTCATGAATACACACCTTCCTTCTGGAATAAATAGCCACATTTAGGAATTTGGCTCAAAGACGTTGAGATGATTTGAATTTGTTGACAAGACTATTGCCATTCAACTTGGTTTTTGTGTGACTGCTATGTTGAAAACATTGTTGGTTGGATAAGGATAGAAACATCTCAACAACTTAAGTTAATTTTTCCTTTTATTCTATGTTTACTCATTTACCCCATGTCTAACCTTCTTTGACCCACTTCTCGTGTCCAGCTTGTCCCCCAGGGACATACGGCGAGAACTGTGCCAGCCGCTGCGACTGCTACAACAGTGCCGAGTGTGACCCGGTCTCTGGGGAGTGTATCTGTGCCCCAGGATGGCGTGGTCAAGCCTGTGACCAGAGTAAGTGGACATTTTACTTGTTTTTATTTTTTTATTTAGAAGTTTTTGCACCCTCATCAACACAATTTAGATCATTTAAAAAGTGGGCTTTGACTCTGCATGTCAGGGTCAAATTAGGCCGGGAGGGATATAATTTCCCGGTAGAAAGACCAAGTTACTTGAGAAAACAAATTCTTCCCACTTTGGAATTGAACTCTGGGTCTCCTGCGATGAGAAAGTGCCTAACTGCTACACAACAGATGCTGATCCAGTGTAAGTGGACACTTTACTTGTGTAGTAGTTTAAGTGTTACAAGATCCTATTCATAAGAGGGCCTCTTTTCAGGTAGAAGCAACCTGGTTTTCCTTGCCCTGGAAAGGATCGGAGAAAATCTGAATCAAAAACCTCTGAAAGTCAAGCTCTATCTATTAGTAGACTATATGAAATTGTATATTTGTTACTTTTTTAGAAACTCCTTTTTTTTTTGCCAGAATACATACAGCAAATAATTTCCAGCTCATAATCAAAGATCTTTTTATCTAAATGATTGACTTCAACTTGTGTATGATCTTAAAGTGGAAGCTCATCTAGAAATGCGAAATTTTATTTGTGTACCTTGCACCTTTCATTTCCTTGCAGCCATATTGAAGAGAATTTCAACACACTGCCATTTGGATAAGTCTGGAGTGATCAGAATGAGTTAACTTAATTTTCTCGTCCATTTCAGCTCATCAAACGAAGTGGTTATCCCCTGTACAGTACTGAGTGTAATCCTAATGTACTAAATAACGAATGCATTCCACAGAGTGCCCTGCAGGCAAATATGGAGCAGGCTGCAGTGAGACCTGTCTGTGTCAGCACGGAGCCGACTGTGACCATGTGAGTGGGACCTGCATGTGCGCGGCCGGCTGGAGGGGCCGCTACTGTGAGAAGGCATGTCCAGATGGCTTCTTTGGCCTAGAGTGCCAGAGTATATGTGCGTGTGGAAATGGAGCCACGTAAGTCCCCACATAACATTACACATGGTTTTTATATATAAGCCCTCACATAATAGCATCCATTGTTTTTGTACATACGCCCTCACATAATAGTACCCATGGTAAGCACTTGCATAGCAGGATCCATGTTCTTTAAATGTTAAGTCTCATAAACAGTGCCATAGTTTCATAGTTTTTATACATACGTCCTCTCATAAGTAACCACTTAACCTTACCCATGGTTTTTATATGTTTATACATTAGTCCTCATATAAATGTAGCTATCGTTTTTATACGTTTATCCTCACATAACAGCACCCATGGTTTTCATACAGGCAGACAAAAACTAAAAGGATTATGTAACTAGGTCAGTAAAGAACATGATATTTACATTGATTCATAAAAACAGTTTCTGGTTAAAGAAATATTGCAAAATAGTATTTATAAGCTGTGTCTTATACTTGCCTTTGTGTAGCTTGTGGTCTGGTTTGAGTTTCCCATATAATAGAATGTATTGTTACATAACAACTTGTTTTATTGCAGCTTTACTCTAGGAGCATTTTTCATTGTCACTTTGTCACTCGATTACTCATTGTTGCTCGGTCTTGCTGTGACTCCGTCTCATTGTCACTCTGTGTCATTGTCTCACTGTTATTCATTGTCACTCTGTGTCATTGTCTCACTGTTATTCATTTTCACTCTGTGTCATTGTCTCACTGTTATTCATTGTCACTCTGTGTCATTGTCTCACTGTTATTCATTTTCACTCTGTGTCATTGTCATGCTGTTACTCATTGTCACTCTATGTCATTATCACTCTGTCTCGCTGTGACTCCGTCTGACTGTCGACCAGGTGTGACCCTGTGTCAGGCGCGTGTCACTGTGCGGCGGGCAGCATGGGCTCCACCTGTGAGCACACCTGTCCCGAGGGCTTCTGGGGGACGGACTGTGAGCTCACCTGTGACTGTCTGAATGGCGGGACCTGTGACCCTGTGTCTGGGACCTGTCTGTGTCGGCCAGGATGGAGGTCGGCGCGCTGCGAAGATCGTGAGTGTCTCTCACCACGGGGAGATTGATTAACCCTTTCTCAACTGAGTTTGTACAGAGGTTGAACATTTTCAGTTTTCTTTCACTTGAGGAAGATTAGCTCTTTCCCATCTGGGTTTTAGTTTAGTTTTAGTAGAGGTTTTACGGTGTTCACAGCTGCATAAGGTCATATGAGCGCCAAGGGGTGGATGTCAACAGAGAAGTCCTTACAGGGAATCAGGCTGACTCTGCTCACCTCTCTAGCTTCAACAGCACAAAGTCTGCTTCGACTATCAAGGCACCCTAGAAATAGCGGGTCACAACAGTGTGACAATACAAAAGAAGTAGAGGAAAAATGATGATAGTAAGGATTAGGAAAGAAAAACCAGCAGTTCCCTGTTCCCTGTTGCAGTTCAGGCACAGCTATGAGCATGACACTGATGAATCAGCCCATTTACAATTATAGTTCTACTGTGCATAAGAACATGGTTAATGTCCCCCTTTGGGAATGGTCTAAAGGCACTTCAGTCAGTAGCACCACCCGGGGGGGGGGGGGTGCTTCTGGGTTTGTTCAATGGTTGAACATTTCCTTTTTGCCATGGAATTTGTTTTGTTTTTTTCATTCTCTATGCAAGCTGTTAGGTTTTAATTTGGATTCGTTTTATTATTTCTTAGCCTATTTTCATTTTCAAGCATTCAGAAATTGGTCATAAGGAAAATTTTAAAATGTCCTCTGCCCTATAAGAATAGCCTTTCAATTCTCGTATCATTTCCAAAGTTTTTGGTAGATACCAGTTCCTGACCTATCTCTTTATACATGAAAATGTTTTATTACACCCCATTTCATGTCTGATATCTATTTTTTTAAAGAAAGGAAGATGGAGGCATATACATGTATTGTCTTTCTTCTCCTCTCAGAATATCCTGTAGTCATAGAGTTGATGCAACTGTAAAATTTATGTGTGTAAATAGAAGATCTCTGTGGCTATGGGCTCCTGACCTTGTTCTGTATACCTATACTGTAAACGTCGCAGTCTACGATACGATCACAGTCATTTTCCTGAATGTCCTCTACATGACGGGTATGTATTATGTGTGTTTTTTTTCAGCATGTCCTCCGGGAATGTACGGCCAGAACTGTATGTACCGCTGTTTCTGCATGCAGCGTGGCACGTGTCAGCCCGTGGACGGAGTCTGCAACTGCACCGCTGGATGGGAGGGGGCTGCCTGTGAGAAAGGTGGGTAGCTTCTGACTCAAGTTCTAGACTCACACAAGTACCACAAACTGAAATTTCAAAGTCCTCTGATTTCATAATTAACTGCACTACCTTAAGGAATTTATCGTTCTCAGCATTTTGATACCAAATTTATACCTATAGCTTCATTTTTAACAAAGTTATGAACATCTGAAGTTGCAAAAAAATGTTTTAGTTTTTTTATTGCGAAATGTCTGCACTTTGAGATGTCACAACATTCTTGAATTTGAATGGACATTCAAAAAAACTTGTAGATACACACCTATGCACATAGAGAACAAGCCCAATTTTTTTCAGGGCTATCAAACAACCAGAAGATGGAAATTTATTGACGTAAACATGGCTTTTTGACCAAAACGGCAAGAAATACAAGAGGAGGTTAAAATCAACACTCGCGGCCACCGGCTTATCGGCAACGCGGAGGGAAGGAGAGAGAATTTATACTAAACCGGGGCGATGCTACCCTGCTTGCGAGCCGACAGGGAGCGTCCGGTATTTATTTGCGTATAATGGCTGTGTTATTCTTGAAGAGGAATGAATGGGCTTTTTGTCGATATATTTCTGTAGTCAGTCCGATCACTGGTTCCATAAAAAAAACAACACCGAAAGTTTTCACACGCAAATCTCTTCTATTAATTCTTTAAGGACAGTCTTTAGAAATATATCACCGGAAAGAGCGTCTTCTCATCTTGAAATATCGACAAATCAGATTGCAGTATTTAATACCATACACTCCCCGTTCCTGTTCAACCGAGGTCACTCAAAAAATCAATACACGAAACGTGCGGCCGCTACAGTGAAAACCTCGATAGTGTTGTCTTTTATCCCGCAAGTTTTTGCTTTCAAAAGAATCGTTGATTCAAATAAATAACACCACTAAAAAAGGAAAAGCTCCTTTCTTCTGATATATCAAGTGTCTGTGTGTATGCATGATCACACAGTGTTTTAGGAGGGTAAAAATATGGGTTTTGGTCTCCGTGACAGTGCGCCACGGGGGCGCACAGCCAGTTTGCGGTACCTAGTCACTGAAAACTTTTTATAGATAATGTAGCTTTTAAAATATTGTGCCTTATAACTGTCAAAGTAAAAAATAACATTTTCATGGGGGTTTTTTGTTAACATGAAACTGCACAAAATTTTACTTCTTGAATACAATTTTTTAAATTTGAAGATAACATGCTAGGTGGGGGAGGGGGGGGGGCATAATGGTGTTAGAATCCCCAGCCAGTATTTTGTACCATCAAGTATACGGGTGTCGCCGAAACCCTGGGGAAAAAAATTGTTGGTTATTTTTATCTCCCTAACCAAGTTCTTAGCCCCTTCAAGATGGAAGGTTTTTTTCAAGAAACTGCACACCATCTTTGTTGCCAGGATGGTAAGCAGTTTCTGTAATTTTGCAGTCCCTTTCAAAGTGCAAGATTTTTGTAATTTGTACATTTTCTTTATCACATATTTTGAATCTTTCATTAATTTTTCAATAAAATTCCATTCAAAGCTATTATAGAACCATTGTAAGATTCAGGTGCATTTTAGGACATACATTGTACGAGAGGCTGGCATCTTGGATCACAATGTTCAACGTATGGTGTATTGGAGCTGTCACAAAGGGGCTAAAGGGAGTTAGCTTCAGACTTCCTTCTGCTTTTTCCACAGGAGGTCTTGGGTACTTTTTTCAATAGATCATATATGATCTTCGTCTTCAAGTAAACCAATTTTCCTCTGCAGCCTGTGAGCCAGGTTTCTATGGCCCCAACTGTGCGTACCGCTGCGAGTGTGTCAACAGCAAGTCATGTGACCGTGTCAGCGGCCAGTGTGTGTGCCAGGCAGGGTACAAGGGCTACCGCTGTGACAAGCGTAAGTACAGCAGGTCTCTCTGAATCTTTAACAGGGTCATTTTCAATGTCTCCAAAATATGTATCCCGGAGTGAAAGCTGATACCCCCACAGTGAATGGACAGCCAGCTGTCCCCAGGTACATGTGCGTGATACCTATGTTGGGTTTTTTTCCTTGTTCATGTGAGCACTAGACTAAGTGTTCTTTGTTTTGGTCACTAGTGCTAAGTGCTCAAGTGTCTGGTGGAACAAGTTCGATTCCCTTGTGGGAATTTTATTGAGTATCTCTGTCTTTTCACTGGGATTTTGCATCCCTCTCAGCCTGTGTTGGCCGAGACCTACTGGCAGCCTGCTCACAAATGATCTAAATTATGTCGGTGAGGAGTAAGACAGCCACATTAAAATAATTAATATTGAAAATTGCATTTATAAAGCTCATATCCATGCTCTACAGCATGCTTTACAGCTACAGTCGAAACCTTTCTTGCGGCCATCTGTTAAAGACAATCGCCTGTATAAACGGACACGTCCCATCTCCCCCTTGCATTTGTTTTTACACTGTCAGGACACTGTGCAAGACAGCCTCTTGTCTAAGACAGCCACTTTTCTTTTCAACAATGGGAGGCTGTCTTAGACAATTTCAAATGTGAGGCTTCGTGGTGAAATCAGGCGCTCATCAAAATAATTAAATTGAAGAAACCGCCATTTTTCTGCCGGTATGGAAATTTTTATTTAATTTTTGTTTTTTGGCTGAACACCTTTTCTGTCCATATGAAAACACATTCCAGTATGGATTTTACTCCGAAAAATTGATCAAAGGAACAAAATTTTTTGAATTCTTAGTTTTCAAGAACTCTCAAGCATAAGACGTCACCAAAGTTTGGCAGCCATTTTCTGGCTAAATTTACCTCTGAAACCAGACTACCTTCATCTCCTGAAATCACAAATATCTCGAGTTCTATTCAAGATAAATTGGTGGTCTTTTATCTTCAAAAGCAAGACAAATGAACAAACTTTAATGTAATGCCAATACCTCCACATGCCCAAAAATTGACAAGCACCTGATTCCACCGCGTAGGGACACAAATGTGGTGCTAATTGGGCATAGTGCTCCGCCTTTGAAATGGCCTGTTTGTGTCTCGGGGAATTTTTAACTTACTGAAAAACAAACTAGGAGTAGATCCATGTCTGTCTTTGTTTACAAGCTGTTATCTGCTCTCCCAGCTTGTCCTGAGGGGTTTTTCGGCAAGAACTGTGAGGGCATCTGCCAGTGTGAGAATGGGGCGCAGTGTGACACTCAAGATGGCAGCTGCAGCTGTAGGGACGGCTGGACTGGCGACCGCTGTGAACAATGTGAGTCTCTAACTGCCCATCAATTTTTGAATTGCAACCTTATTCATTGCATTCTGCCCTCTTTTTTTAAGTGTTTACCATCATTTGAAATTTTGTGAAAATCCATCATTATTAGTTTGTCCCATTTAAAAAATATATTTGAGTATTTGAGGATAATCCTCCTTTGGGGGAAAATTTAAACTTTTGGGCAGTTGTTAAAACATGAGCATCATTTTTTGCTTGTACTTAATTCTGATCACAAGGCCAATTGAAATGACCTCTGTTTTTTATCTCAGTCTTAATGTTTCTTCTGCTCAGGCGTCACAGCCAAGTCCTTTCTCACTAAAAACTTGTCTCAGTTTTAAATTTGTTGTTCTGTTTTCCTCATCAGCTTGCCCTGAAGGCTTGTTTGGTCCTGGATGCAGCCAGCAGTGTACTTGTGAATACGGGCAGCCATGCTACCATGTGGATGGGCGCTGCGAATGTCCTGCTGGGCTCACAGGAAACAGTTGTGAACGCAGTAAGAAAAACCAAAGTCGGTGGTGAACTTATTAGCAAAAACTCCAGTCTGAGTGGTGAATGTAGTAAAAAAAAAAAAAAAAAAAAAAAACAGAATCAAGAATGGGGAAAGGAGTTAAAAAATACCAGAATCAAAAGTGATGGACACTAAGAAAAGCCAGGGTCAGAATAGTAAACGCAGTAAGAAAAAATTTCAGTTGTGATGAAAGACTGTTTTCTCAAGTACTTGCTCTGTGAAAGAGTATCTTCATCTGTCTGCTGGGATATTGTGTCCGGCTCAGATTGGATTGGTCCTGACGGGCATAGTTGAAGCAGCCCACCTCCTACATGATCTGAATAGTATCGATGGGAATGTAAAACACTTAGAATCAGTGCAACCAATTATGAAAGTGAGAGACATGTCTGACGTTATCGAGTTTTGTGGTTTTATTGATTTGTTACACTACTCCTGCCTATATCCTTCTTGTGTCAAAGTCAGAACAGTGTATCTAATTCTGAAATAGTGGTTTTCAACCATAATTTAGAAGCATACATAACTATAGACAAGCTGAGCGTCAAAAGTTTTTATTTTCATTTTTCTCAAAATCATAAACTGTCAAGCCACTTCTGTTTTTGGATGGACGTGCTCCCCTGATGGTGACTTACAAGTGGTGTAGTGTCTTTTCCCTCTGACGTCACATTATCTACAAACTCTTGTCAATTTTTTTCCTGCTCAGAGTGTGAGCCAGGTAGATTCGGCCCCAGCTGTCAGGGCATCTGTTCCTGTGAGCCTCACAAGGTGTGCAACCACGTCACCGGCCAGTGCATGTGCAGCCCTGGCTTCTACGGCAGGAACTGCGACAAGGGTAACAACCGCCTCTCACACCTGCTGTGTGGGTTAGGTTTATTTTCCTGAGACTGCCAATGACGGAGACTTTTTGGGTTGCTTTTTATTTGTTGAGACAGATGTATTTTTCACAGTAGCGAGGTCTATGGATAGACTATTATTATTTTTATTATTATAATTTTTTTTCTCAGTTTTTCTCTTTGGCTAACAAGCACTGAGTCACTGAGGGAACAGGGTACCTTTTCTCTGGTTAACCACTGCCACATTAGTCTATTCTGCTCATAACATTACTCACATTCAGTCTCAAGGTAAACACTACATTACAAGGAAAAGGTGAAACAGTTTCGGAACTATTTGTGATAACAATATTTATTCTCATAGGCCAAATTCTCCCACTTTCTATACTTTAAGAGACAAAGGATGTGTTGACCTACTTTTTCTCATAAGAAGGAAATTAAGAGGGTTTCTGCTAGTATAACCATTATAAAGTGCCTGTAACACGTCAGTTTGTAAAGTTTCTTGTAATATATCATTGTGCAGTGTGTTCGAAAGGTGTGTAAAAAATAAAATTTAATATGGACTTGGAACACGAGGTATAGAACAGGATTCTAGTCCCAGGGCTACCTGCTTTCTGCCACAGCCTTGTGACTTTCGTTTCTCTCCTGAAATGTTTGGAATATTACCAAAGTGGCTACATTTAGGCCTTCTATAATTCAAATGCAGTATAAAGATAAGAGAGGGGATCTAAAAATTAAAAGAAGCTGGAGAAGTAAAAAGGGAAAAAGTAGACTTTAGTGGCCATATTTATATTCAGTCTAAATGCTGCTATCAATACTTGTCTTGGTTTCCATGACTTATTTTGTTCTGCAAAGATATTTGGAAAATTTTGTATTGGAGTTGGATTTTTGTGTGTGTGTGTGTTTGTTCACAAGTAGTGAGTTTCTGTTTTGTTAGAATTGTGCGTTGTATATGTTTTGGAAATTTTATCCTATGATAAGCATTTTCAAAAACTTCAGTGATCTCCGTCAAGTGGCAGTCTCCTTGCTTTTTTTGTGGAGATAATGTTAAGAAAATATGACTCTTTGACTTTGGCTTCAGTCTCGTGAGAGCAAAGCTTTGTGAGAGTAGAAGTAGACGTTTGGGATGCTGGACTGTATATTTCTCTTGCAATGTGAATTTATACAAATTTGATAAGTAGCATGGAGCTGGAGGAGATTTTTGTATTTAAGCTTATTTGCGCTTTGCCTTGTTTTTGGTCCTCTTTTGACTACAAATGCTGATTGTAATGCTGCCTTTTCCAAGCTTGCTCTTCTCTTTCAGCAGCATATGAAGCATGAAGATGTCATGAATCTCTGATCCTTACATCTCCCTGCATCACCACAACCTCCCCCCAAGCTACACCGCCACACAGTAGTAAACACACACATGCACACACACACACACACGCGCGCGCGCGCGCGCGCACTCACACAGACACACTGAAACACACACCTATATGCACATACAAATTCGTTTGCCTGCATACGAGGTCTGCCTCAGAATAAAGTTTCCCCTGTCATGCTGTCTTCACATATGATTATAAATCACCTTGCATTTGGTATCAACAAAAAGTGTATTCAAATACAGTATAATCTGCTTATATCGACATGCTTTGGGAAGTAGATTTGATGTCGATAAATGAAAATAGAAAGCCAAAGAGAAAAAAACAAGGGAAGGTCAGCGGTAAAAAGACAACTCTACTTTTTTAAGCTGGTTGCTTCCCTTGATTTTTACACAACTACACAGTGAAACTAACAAGAGGCAGAGAGGAGGGGGGATTGGAGTAATGGTACCAAAGACTGAGCAAGGCGAGGCGCACACAACACAGCAGCGCAAACTTCGTTGAAGCATCCTTGTAAGGCCTGTTTAAGGCTGCTTGCTGGGGAAAAAAGAAAGGCGAGGCATGACTCACTGACCATGGCACTTGCCAGTGAGCGATCGGAAGTTGGGGTAGGGAGGTGATGCCCAGCGTGCGAGACACTCACATCTGTGAGGCACTATACTGTGTTGGAGACTACACTGTGTAGGCCCTACATGACCTACTAAAACCTGGTGTGTCGAATAGGCTACTTTGGCGGGTATGCGGACCTTATGAAGAACTAATGTGTTGACTGTTAGCTTGGCTTTTTCCCCCATTTATGTTTGTGGGCTTGGTCAGGTACCTAGGAAGCATGTCGATAAAGCATAGTGGGAGGAAAAAAAAGTCGATACAAGAGAAATTGTTAAGTTAAGATATTGAAGGAAAAATGTTGTACTTTTAAAATATGTCAATATGTCAAAATGTCGATACATCGTCTGTCGACATAGGTGGATTATACTGTATCTATTCAACGTAGGAACCATCAAGTTCCAGACTTTTCTCCTTTTTATGTACCCAGCGGTCAAAGACAGTGGTCAGTGATTGATTGTCCAAGGTCCGGAGTGCTTTTCTCAAAGCCTCTTGAATCTGGCCCTCGTTCTCAATTCGTCGAACTCGCAACATTTCTTTTACCTTAGAGAAGAGGTGAAAGTCACATGGGGAGAGATCAGGCGAATAGGGCAGGGCAGGTGTTCCAATAGTTCCTACGAGTATCCTTCAAGAAGCTCGGTCACAACTCTGGACTTGTGAACCGGAGCGTTGTCATGATGCAGGGTGATGCCTTCTTCAAGACTTTTTTTCTTGCCAAGATCGTTGGTCAATATTTGGTGAACTGTTGCACTGGACATACCAATTATTTCACTTATTTCCCTGCATGTTCTTTTCGTATTTTCTTCCAAAACAGCTTTGGTTCTCTCTAAACTGTCACCACAAATGACAACTGGGGGCCTCCCAGTGTGCGCTTCATCTTTCATGTCAGACCTCCGACGTTCAACCTGTCTGATCCATTTTCTTACTGTTTGAATTGATGGGGCATTATTCCCTATTACTTTGCAAAGATCGCCATAGGTTTCAACTGCAGACTTGCCGAGAAGAGTTGAAAATTTGATCACAACTCGAACTTCGTAGTGTGAGAAGGTTGCTTCAATATTTTGCCCAGCCATTTTCCTCTGATTTGCCTTGGACAAAGTGCACAAGAACACCTCACTTGACACGTCACAGCTCTATGATGTGTTAACCAATGCACTTGCAATTTGGCATGAAGATTTCTCAGACCTGACATCATGATGTCACAACACTTAGTGGCTGTTGGTCGCGTACTTTTGATTTAATTGAGGAGGGAAACTTTATTCTGAGACAGACCTCGTATGTATACGAATACACACATTACTCGAACACACAAACTACACAAGCACACATGCACTTCAAGAATCGGAATTTGTTTGTTTAATTAATTGAACTCAATTTCAACGTTCTTGTTTGTTTTGGGGAACAAATTCTACAATTTAAACTCACCTCCTACCCATGCCGCATAATCTGTGATCAAAGTTCTGTTTTCATCTGTCTACCTCTACTGCAGCCATTGCAGTTTCCGATTTCAGAATTTTGTTTAAAAATAGTATTATTACCACAGCTTTATTTGTGACTACCTTGGTTGGGTCACAGTGATTTTTGAAAATACTCATTGAAATGTTGGGTACACTGAGGTTAGCATTGAAAAATACAGTGGGTAGGCGGTGAGTTAATCATGTGGTGTTTCACATTGTCGTCAGGTCTGAATATGCTTGTGTTTTCTGTGGCCCCAATCTTGTTATGTTTTGTGATGTGATCCTCTCACCTGTGAAAAGACACTAACGATAAAATCCAATCAGTTCATTTTCTCCGACTACTTGTGCCATTCGACGTTCTCTTTGACTTTTTATGTCATTTTTCACTTCTGTCTCACACTAAAATTTCAGGTACACTTAATTGTCTTTGCCCAAAGCCTTTTTTTTTGTCTCTTTTTTTTTTTTACACACAACAAAGACTTCAGGGGGCTTTTTGTTGTTGTTTTTGTTGTTTTTTAGTAAAAATGTTATGAAGTTTTGCAACACAAAAATAAGTCCTATGAGTGCCGCAACCATGACGTCTTATCTATAAAACTATTTTCTGCTGTAATCTGTATTGGGATAGAAGATGATATGGAGTCTGTTGGCTTTCAAAATGGAAACCCTGTTGGTTCAGAAGCAGATTTTTTTTTAAATTACATCAAAGTCTTTGTGTGTCTCCTTGTACTGTCCACTACTTGAGTACTAACATGCAGATCGTTCACACACGTACTCTGTGCTATATATACCATGTCACAGAGGCAGACACATATATGAGATTGACATCTTTTGTCTGTGTTAGTGCTAAATATGGGATATTTGATAGATAATACTGATGTGCAAATTGTTGCTTGATAATACCAATAGATCTGTATTTGCGCTAGTCTTGTGGCTTCTCAAACAAATGTGATCTCTGCATACTTTTGTACAATTGTGCATAAACTCAATGCTTCTCATGAAATCATAAGTCGGAATAATGAAAACATTGGTATATGTTTCTTTATCTATTTTTCTGTCTGTCTTTCTTTCTTCAAGCGTTTCTCCTTTGTGCTTCCATCTGTCTTTGTCATACTTGTGGCAGCATGGGGGAATCAGGTGCTCACAAACTTTGGGGCATATGGAGTTCTTGGTGTCAAATTAATTGGTTTTGGGGTTTTTTTTTAACTTGTTAAAAGAAGTTTTAATGTTGATCTATCTTGCATAGAAGTCAAGATATGTGCAATTTAGGAAGGTGGGGGGTTTACTTGCTATTACACATGAAATTAACAAGAAAATGACCCGCAAAGTTTGGTGACTTTTAAAGCTGAATATTCAGACTGGTTCAACAAAAAAACTTTCTCTTAGCTTTAAACATTTTAAAGAAAAATTCACCTCAAAAGGTGTGTTCATCAATGAAAGGAGAATTTTTCTATGCAAAAAAAAAAGTTGATAAAAATGTACCAACAGTCAGAGAAATACTGATTTCTCTGTCTCTGATAATTTGATGAGTATCTGATTCTACCATGATGACCCACCTACCATTGTTTCTTTCTGTTGTCTTGCCCAAAGCTGTGGTACTGCAGAGGGAAAGCTTTTAAATGTGTTTTCTTGTAGTGATATTTATTTAGGATTAATCATCTTCTCCTCACTTGTCCTCTACATCTCTATTCTATAACTTCATTTGCTGTTCATAAAATGCTTTGTTTAACCTGAACCATATTTTTTCAGGGCTTACCCTAGATACTTTGCCTTACATAACTGTATAATGCCTTTGCTTCTTCTCAGAGAGGAAAAAGGGCAAAAATTATAGAAAGGGTAGGAAAAATAATGGCCGAAGGAAGCCGAGCCGCAATTACAGGAAAATGCTGAAAGACAAGGACACACTGAGCCAGCTGAAAGCAGGTACAGTTACCAGGGGCTGGTGAGGTGGGAGGTTTTTGTGTCTGGTCTGCTCTAGTTATGAGAGGGAGGAGAACTGAGGGTTGGACTGGAGAGTGTGGGAAAGGAAGGCGTGGTGAAAAGAAAGGAGGTTGAGAGAAGTGCGGAATGAAAGTGTGAGTGGTTATAATAGGCGTGGTCTCTTTGTTGTGCAGATTCAATGCCAGAGATTGAGGGACTGTCTAGAGTGTCGATTTTCAGGATAAATTCAGATTTCTGAAAATGTCACAATTTTATATTACATTATATATTTTAATCTCTTTGTGCATGTCATATTGCACTTAAATAATAATACATAGTCTTGGTACAAGTTGTATAAACCTTAGATCCTTAGATTTTGAGTCCCCCAGTGCGTAATTTTGCAAGATTTGAATAACTTCCTTCTTCCTGTTTACCATGCGGGTGGTATGAGCACAGATCTACACAAACAGGGTTGATACAGGAGAAGCACCTTGGAAATTGCTCTATGCAAGCCATTTGTCAGAAGGGAAGCATGTTGGTGGTTTTTGGTCATTTCCAACCTGGACCAAAATCAAGACAATGAAACTTTACTGTAGAAAATTTACCAAACTTGTTACGATCACATTCAGTCATAAATGCCAATGGGAGTCCTCGTTTTCTTTTCTCACGAAAGTTTTTCTTAGCCTCCCTAATCAACAAAATTGACTTTCTTTGCTGTGAATGAGAACAATCCTTTTAGAAGTAAATGCCTTGTATCCAAAGATTCCAGAAGTATTTGATTCAGAAAGTGGAAGGTTTTCTTCTACACTACCAGCCTGAGATAAATTGTGTTGAACTTGTTCATTTTGTTTAGGTTCTATTGTTCTGTTTGGACAAAGTTGTGCCTCGCATCTGTAGCAACCCTGTTAGCTTAATGGACGAGCTCTAGGAAAACTCTGCAAGTTCCACTTTTTCCAATAGTCTGCATTGTGTGGAAATAGTTGTAAGGCTAAAACTGGAATAAATGACCTTGCCTCACTTTGTGCTAGTTCTCTATACCATCTGCAAGTATTATTATTGTAACTGTTTTACATCAAGTTGTGTACATGATAAAATGATGCGGGTACTGTATCTTACCCATTAGTTTATTTGATTACCAAAAATAATTGCAGTTGTGTTAAGAGAGACCATGAATGCTATATGCTGAGAATATGTTGAGAGTTTTCTTTGGTATTGAGTTTGCACAAACAAAGTGGACTCTATTTTTCATGTGAAAACTTTGTGTGAATTTTTCGTTCTAATGCTGCCATAACATATTATTGAATATGCACTGCATTGACCACCACCGCAACAGGACCGCTCAGCACACATTCTTTAATGTTTAATATTCATGTTAAGAGAGACAATTGATGTCATCTGCATTTTAGTGCAGAAATGATGCTTGCATAGATGGTTCTCTTGAATAGTTTAGGCTCCGCGACTAACACATAGAATAGTGACAGCTTGGTAGTCCAATTAAAAATTGCTGGTAGTCATTATGTGATTGCAGTTTTGTTTCTTTTGATAAAAGATCTAGATAGGAGCTTGTTGTCATAGTTATACTCAGTAAGCTGTGCAAAGGTTCACCTTACTTGAATGTTTCTTATCTTTTTCTCTTACAAAGCATCTTGGGTATTTGGTAAGGAGGGAAAATCCAACATCTTTTATGTTTTCAATTTGGTTTGTTTTTTGTTTGTAGATCTAGCTCAACTTCTTGTGTTACTACATTCTGTCTCTATTTGGTGGACTGTCCTTTAACAGTCGCTCTCCTAAGGCTTTACATGGAGTTTGGTGTATTTGATTTCCTTTTAAAATCGTCACATGCTATCTTCTTTTAAAAGAGCAATATTCTTTGATTTAAAAGACTGACACAATCTTTTGACTGTTTCCTTTAACTGACTTTTTTGTTTGACTCAATAGTAGATGTTTTTCTTCTCTTTCTGGACTTCACCATTCAGTTCAATGATGCACACTTTTCTCTTTGAAATCATCTTTTTTAAAAATTGCTATTGCGTTTCAATTTGCCATTTTTGACTAGATATTGTGAATAAGCAAACGTCATTTTCTAATTCCTTTTTATTTCCACTTTCCCTCCCAAATTTGTTGCCGTTACCCCAATCACTCACCATTTGGCATGAGGAGATTTTTCTGTGTGTTGAATCAGTTTTGTGTGTCGTCGCATTTGCAGTGTGCCAGTCAGTGACTGTGGAGTGTGGTGGCTTTAACCTACATGTTCAACATGTCCTCTCTCTCAGTTGTTTGAGACTTCTACTTTTCTGACATTTCTTGTACTAATGTTTAAACTAAAAAAAGAAGAAGAAGAAAAAAGTTTTTCTATTTCATCTTGTTCATCTGATGTTTAAAAGAAAACTTTCTATGGTTTTATATATGTTATTTACAGTACCGTACTGGTACTCATTGTGCTAAAAACTACTGAACTGTTGTAGGTGAAGATGAAACTGTGTTTGAGAGAATTGCCACAAGTTTGTCAAAAGAAACGCATTTTTTTGAGTGGGGGGGGGGTAAAAATAGAAAATTGCAAGAGCTCAGAAGAACAAAACACAAAAGTGATTTCAACTTACCATAGTGATGACAAGACTATCCGTGTGCTTATTGTCTACCTGAGATTTTAGGCTCATCGTTGTGTTTGTAGTTTTCAAAACTTATAAAGAAAAAAGATGTCACTGATATCCCATTTAAGTGAAGTAAACAAGGTTTTGGATGTGGCAATAATCATCCTCTTACCCAGGATGAGAACTCATGATAAAGTTTTCTCTCAAGATGTTATAAATGACAGTGTGGTGGGGAGAATAGTCTTGGAAAGCCCTTGATCGAAACACAACAATATTGTTTTAGATATAAGAAGGCTTACTAAGAAGATGTAATTTGTTTGTTATTGTTTAAATTTACATTTTGACATCTTTCCCTTCTCTGCTCCTGGAAGTTTTTCATTGCACTTTTCTGACACACGTACACTCACATTCACACCACTGCAGGCTGCACGGAAGGCGAGTACGGGCCCAACTGCGACCGCGTGTGTCAGTGCGCAAACAACGCAGACTGCGACGTGTCTACTGGCATGTGCTTCTGCCCTGAGGGCTTCGTGGGCTCTACTTGTAGAGAGAGATGCCCGGAGGACCGCTACGGCTTCAACTGTACTGGGGTAAGGCAATAAAGATCAATGAAATAAATCTGTTCTTGTCCTTTGTGTTGCTGTGGTGTCTGAGGCAAATTGGCCAGAGATGTACGCATTTGAATTTTTTCATTTTTTTTAGTAGCTAACTGACCCTTTGATCAGACTTGTCTGACTGTATCAAGATTTTTATTACGATGTCACCCTATCAATAATGCTCAAGGAAATTAATCCAAGTTATGATCATTGCATGAAGGTTATTTGTTGTTGTCTCCCTTGGTCGCTTGTGTCTTGTCCTGGAGGGGTCCAGCTACTCACAAGAGATATTTTCGTTATTAATGCATCTTTTCAAACCAAACTTTCACATCATATGCAGTACCCTCCAGGAAATAATTCAAAATATTTATTAACTTTCAACTCCAATATGTTATGTAATACCAGCTGTCATATTGAAATTATAAAATATTTAGGAAAACATTTTTTTCAAATATTTCGAGAATTCAATTGTGATTAACAGCATAGATTTTTTCCTTGTGTATCTTGCTGTGGCAACCTACATTGTTACTTCAAAGAGATTTTTAGACTATTATCTGTGTCTCCAGTACTTTTGTTCTCACACTACAGGGTGTCCCTATACAGGCTGGACACAGGGGATGTCAGTAACTCACCAATTGGTGACAGCATGGAGTTATTGTATCAGTGTCATGTGAATCTTGTAAATCAAAAGCTGATGGACTAATGGTGGGAATCACACTGAAATGTTTTGTTATAATCAAAACAATTGAATAAAATGTTGAACATTTTATGTGTATTTTTTTTTTAAATATAGGCCTAATTATGTTCTCCTTTGTGTCCATCTTCCCTGTCTGCTTCCTTCACTCTATCTCAACGTCTGTAGTGCCTGGGAAACTGGACTCACAATTGTAGTGGCCCTTTGGGTCCTATATAGAAAATGCTGCTATTTGCTATATACAGCAGGTGAATGAAGGGTTCCACTGGCAGGTCCTGTTTCTTTATATTCCTTCTCATGTATCTCTCTGTCTGTCTATCTTGTTCATTCCTGATAAAAAATAACCATTGTCATGTCTGTGTGCTTCTTTTCCTAAAAAAAAAAACTCAGCATATTCGACACTCAGTAGAAAAAAGTGGAAGTGATGACCAGCGATAACATGTATGCAAGATTTGTTTGTTTTTATGTAATATTGTGTATTATGATACGGTGCTAAATTATTGCATATGTCTGTTCATGAATTTATGTTTGTTTTTGTATATACATGCCATTGAAAAGCAAATTTCCCCTCAGGATGAATAGAAGTGGAATTTTGTTTCAATATCATGGAGTATCAGATGTGAACTAATATTGGGGATTATGGTTCACCTCTCATTTCTTTGTTTGGATGCTTTAGAAAAAAAAACTATTTTGATGTTATGCTCTATACTGTCACACCCTCCCCCCCCCCCCGCCAAGACAGTGCTACTGACTGAAGTGTCTTTAGGCCATTCCCAAAGGGGGGGGGGGTAATTAACATGTTCTTATGCACAGAAGAATTGTAAATGGGCTGATTTATCAATGTCATGCTCATACTCTGCCGGAATAACATAGGGGGAACTGCTGCTTTTTCTTTCCTCATCCTTACTATCGTAGAGGGAGTGGGGGGAGGGGGGGGGAGACAATTACAGCGAATTATAGGCGATTTCCAGGTTGAGAACCATAGATGTGGGGTACATAGAAGCGGAACCAATAAATTGGCAAAAAGAGATATTATTAATCCGAATACAGGAAAAAGAGGCTAAAACAGCACCTGGACATGGATGGCTGGTGCATCTATAAATAAATCATTGATGGTCTGGTCTGGCCTTACTATCGTCATACTTCTTTTGTATGTTTGTCACTCTCTTGTGAACTGTTATTTCCAGGATACCTGATAGTCGAAACAGACTTTGTACTGTTGAGGCCAGAAAGGTGAACAGAGTGAACCTGATTCCCGTTTGGACTTCTCTGTTGACAGCCACCCCTTGGCACGCATATGACCTTATGCAATAGCGAGTGCCGTAAAACCTTTCTAAAACTAGAACTTACCTGTCACACGGAGCTTTGTTGTTCTCCATTTACTTCTACTTTGCCTTTTACTTTGTTGATTCATTTTTATTTATTTCATGTTTTTGCCTTCCATTCCATCACACAGGTGTGTGACTGTCAGAATGGAGCCCGCTGTAACAAGAGGTCAGGCAGATGCAAGTGTCTGCCAGGTTACACAGGGAGCAAATGTGAAAGCAGTAAGTGTCTCAGTCTGGGTGAAGCCTGTCTGGTCTATGCTCTCTGTGTGTCTGTTTGGTTGTCCATTTGTCTGTCCATCTGTTTGTCTAGCATTGTTTGTCTTTGGTGTTCTTTTACACTGCCCTGGTAAGTTGGTATCAATTGGGATTATTTTTAAGTTTTTTGGTATTTATGTAATCTGCTACTGTTTGTGTGTCTGTATATCTCTCTATTTCTCTGTCTCTCTATGTGGGTGGTTGGCAGGTGCTCTGATGTGGTTTGCTTCTTCTTTTCTATCTCCCCTTCTTTTTTATGTTTTGTTACTCTCTTGTAACACGTATTCTAATCTTCTGGCGCTCACATGACCTTATACAGTTGTGAGCGCAGTAAAACCTCTACTAAAACTAAACTGTCTCTCTACCTCTCTGTCTGTCTGTCTGTCTGTCTCTCTCTCTCTCTTTCTCTCTCTCTCTCTCTCTCTCTCTCTCTGTCTCTCTCTCTCTCTCCCCCCTCCCTCCCCCCTCCCCTCCCTCCTCCCTCCCTCTCTCTCTGTCTCTCAAGGCCTTGCAATCTCCATCTGTCTGTTGTGATAATGTATCCCTCTCCTTGGGTTGGCCCTATTGGGCAGAGTTGAAGCAGTCCACCTCCTGAACTATCTCAGTTCTGTCGATCGGGATGTGAAGAGTCTACAATGACATTTTTCCCACTCTGTACCCTCAGTGTGTCCCGAAAAGACGTTTGGTCAAGACTGTGGCTACCAGTGTAACTGTAAACATGGCAGCTGCCACCACGTCACTGGCGAGTGCCAGTGTGACCTGGGTTGGACGGGCGCCAACTGCGACACAACCTGCCCCGCGGGCAAGTTTGGCCCCAACTGCGTCCACTCATGTGTGTGCCAGAATGGAGCGTCATGTGACCCAGCCTCCGGATGCTGTACGTGTAATGAGGGCTACTACGGACAGATGTGTGAGCTAGGTATGTGCAACCCCATATAGGATCCCCTGTATAATGCCCTCTCCCTGGTTGTAGCTTTTTTGTCAGAAATATGCACAGACACTTATGAATGTAAAGAAATCAAAAAGTTATCAGTTATTGCAAATGGTCATAAAAAAAATAAAAGCTGGAAAAGTCTGATGCTGATTCAGTTTCACTGGAATGCTAGAAATTATTCTAAACACCTAGTTATGAGAAGTCACCCCTGTTATTCAGTCAACTTACAACCAGGGAGTGGGCACTAAAATAAAATAAAATTTCGACAGCTTTCACAATGACATGTTTCACTCATACAGGCCCATTAAATGTACAACAATTTTTTCAAGTAAATATACATCATCAATAACATACCAAGAAGTATGTTCTAACCAAAAAAAAAGTACATACACAAAAAGGCAGTAGATTGTGTGTGCTTTCCATTATATCTGTTTTTTACTGCTTTCTGTTTTATGAGCCTCCAATGATGGATACTGTTTGTTTTAAGAGTCTGACTATTTGTTTAAAGTTGAGTCAGGTTCCTAAAGTCTTTGTCTTTTGTGTGAGACAGAGTGTCCCTCGGGTCGCCATGGCGTGTACTGTATGGAGAACTGCGACTGTGTGAATGGAGCCTCATGCTCCCCCATCACCGGACAGTGTCGCTGCCGGTCGGGATTCCAGGGAGACAAGTGTGAACAAGGTCAGGATTTATCACAATGTTGGGGGGGGGGGGGATGTCTTTTTTTTTCCCCAAAATTTTCCTTTACCTTTTGAATGTTCAGGCTTCTTCAAACATTTCTTGATCAAGTATACAACTTTCTGTTTGACAGAGCTAGAACTCTGATCATTACTGCCTTACAAGTACCATGCAATGAGGACACCTCGAATGAAATTTTTAATTAGTACCGTATTGTAACTTGGTGATTTTCCTGTACTGATGTTCAAAGATGTGTACATTCTAGTACTGTACTATAGAAAAAAGCTTGAGGAAGAAATTAACTGTTTACAGTAGAGCCTGATCTATAGATTGTTCACTTTCGTCTGACCGCAGTTAACTCATTCGCTACGCCGAGCCGTGGGGGGGCGGCGTGGCTAAAGTGCCGTCAGTATGCTAAACCGCCCCCAGCGGCTCGACAACCGATCTTCAATTTTAGCTTAGATTCTATTCCAATCCACATATCCATGTTAAAATAAAGGTCATAATATAATGTTGACTTCCGGGTCAAGCATTTCCACAGAAAATCGGAAATTTAGATCCAGTTTTGAAACCCGATTTCGTAGTTTATTCGACTTTGTTTTATCGTGATGCCAAAATTATAGCCCGGACACCAGTCTTAGTAATTTTACACAACAAAATCTATCATTATTTTGCCCACTAAAGAAATGTAGGACTCTTTTTTATAATATTGATACGATTGGACTCATATTGCGAATGCACTGTTATTGAGAAATCAATATTTTTGAGTGCTAGATGTAGGTCTAGATCTAAATTGTCAAAATATTTGTTTCTCCCCAAAATCACTACTTTTTGATGAAATTACACAAAAGTGCCACTCAAGACATGTATAAGTTTATTCCAAATGCAATTATGAATAATTCCATATAAGATACGAGTCGGGTTTTTTTCTGTTTGTGATCATTTTTCAAGGTTATAATTTATTTTTATTTTTTTCAATATCGGATCCAAATGTACAAATATTATGAAATGTATGTAAGTAACTGCAAACTTTTCAATATTTTCCAATTCTATATTCATTTATGGTTATTTTGATGTATCATTTGACTAGGTGCAAACTTATTTTTTGAGTTTCACCAAAGATTATTAATTTTTTATTTTCAAATTTTATCCGCATCCAATCAAAATTGTGTTGCATAATCGCCTCTTACAGGAACCAAAGTTGAAAAATACATAAATAAACATTACAGATGTATTCTACAAACCATACTGAAAATATTGGTATATAATACGTTGATATTTTTTTGAATTTGTGGCCCCAAAGACCTTTTAACTGCCCACTAGTCATCACCTCATTCGCCCTCCGGAAAAAAATTCGTCCCAAGCCGAAAATAATACGTAGCGAATGAGTTAAAATAAAAGGAAAAAAAAAACGCTGTGTTCAATCTTCTCTGATCTTTGCGTACGGGTCTAAAAGTTGGATAATCGACAGAATCTAAAAGCCAATTTATGAAAGTCACCTCAAACTAAGATTCTGACACGTTTTCTTTGATGTTAGCCTAAATCCAGTTAAACAAATAATGTTGACATATTTTCCTCAACACCGCACTTACTTAAACGTACGCCTATGAAACGCGATTAGAGAGACAGAGTGAGTTTTTTTCGAGACTCATTTAGAGTACATGGAGACATCGAGCCATGGGGTGAAATCAACAAGCTTACACTGAAATGTGGGAGCAGCAGGGTGGTATCGCTGTCTCGAAAAAAGCTATTTGTAGACTAGGTTACTCTAAGTCATTCATTCTAGTGGTCCTGTGTATGCATCCAAAGAGGAATTTTTAATATATATATACTCCAATGAGTAAAACTTGTTTTCTACTAAATCGAGATAATAAATGTGTTTGTTTTGGTACTATGTGTACCGTTATACTATTTCTTTTTCCTGAACTCTTTTAAAACTTACTACATTACTTTTCTACAGAAATCTGAGATTAAGTTTAGTTTATTTTTCTTCAACTCTTTTAAAACTCAGGTGAGGCCTGCAAAAGTACCCTGCAACGTTTCATGGGCATAGATCAGTTCATAAGTGAGCTAAAAAAATTTTAAAAATTTTACGTGGACAGATGAAATTGAACAAGCTATAGCAGCCACCAGTCCAAGACAACTACCTATACAAATGACCTCTTTCCTCCCCCCCCCCCATTGTGATATCTATTATGATAACACTTTCCAATAAGACCAGTCTAAGATGACCACTTTTCTCCTCAACACTTGACTGTCATCCTGGACATGTTCAACTCTATGTCTGTTCTTATCTGCACGGTTTTTGTCAAGTCGGGGGTGTTCTTCACTTGTGGGGAAATTTCTAAATGTGTCAGGGATGTATGTGTAACAAACGCCTCGCTTGTTGCAGATCTTTGCTAGACTGGGGAAATCTTGAGCTGAACCCAGTTTGATATGAAATGGCTTCCTTTGCCTTTCGTCTACATAAAAACAAAAGTTTATCCCGAAGTCAAGTAGTTTTTACTGTTTTACTGCTGTACATCCTTCCACTAGTAAGTCAAAATGCTCCCCTTTGCTTTAATTTAACCTGTAGAGCCCTGGCTCCCTGGGCACTTGTGCTGCAGTGTGTTCCAGACATAGGCTAGGGTCTTTAAGGTGAACAACAATCTTGCTAACTCTCCAATATTTCCCCCCAGCTTGCCCGCCTGACCGATGGGGTCAGAACTGCCGTGAGGAGTGTGCCTGTGGGGAAAACGCAGTCTGTGATTCTGTCACGGGGAAGTGCCGCTGCCACCCAGGCTACCACGGGGATCTCTGTGAGACAGGTGAGGGGACTGGGGGGAACAGGCTGGGGGTCGGATCTTTGAGAGTTATAGGGGGCGGGGGGGGGGGGGGGGGGACACCAGATCACAGATCTCTGGAGTCTAAGGTGATTTTAGGGGGGGAGGGGGGGGGGTATCTTTTGGGCCAGGGTAAGAAAAATAAACTAAACTTAATCTCAGCTTTCTGTAGAAAAGTAATGCAGTAAGTTTTGAAAGAGTTGAGGAAAAAGAACTAGTATAACGGTGCCCATAGTGTGGTCCTGATGTCAAGGTAGAGGACTTTATTTGGTATTGATAGTGTTGATGATTCTTTTAATAAATGGAAGAATAAATCCTGGGGTCTTAAAAATTAGAATTGTAGAAATTGTACATCCACATCAACACAACTTGGATCATTTAAGAGGCGGGCTTTGACCCTGCCTGTGTAGGCCAACCTGGGCTGAGAAGGGGACAAAGTTTCAGCAGACAGATTGAAATACTCGAAAAAATTCTCCCCACTCGGGATTTGAACTCATGTCTTCTGCATGCTCTGGCAAAACAGCTAACAGCTACACCAGATACCAGTCCCAGGTCTTCACCAACTATTTAGTGTCTTTTGCAGTTTCCTACCAGGTGCATTTTATTGTTAAAAGTGCTGTGAATGGCAGGCAGTTAAAACTATGAACGTTCATTGATTCATTCTTTTATCAGTAGTGTGCAGTGCCTCCAGCAAAGACTGAATGTAAAAGTTTAAATGATGAGAAGACTTGTTTACTTTGGAGTTGACTCTTCAGTTTAATAAACACAAAACATTTTCTTGTGACAGTAACGGCTAAAATTCAAGCCTTCAAAGAGAAGTGAGTGTAATTTCTGTGTGATTATTTTCCCCAGGTTGCCCTCCGGGTCGATTTGGCCCCAGTTGTGTCTACTTCTGCGACTGTGATAACGGCGGCAGCTGCGACCCTGTGTCGGGTGCGTGCGAGTGTTTACCAGGATGGGTCGGGCCTCGCTGCCAGACTGCACAAAGTGAGTACTTTTATCAGGGTGATATAGTCCAGGGTTATTGGACAGTGGGGAGATTTTTCGCATTTTTGATAATATGTTCAACCCTTTGTGCGATGGTCCCCTAAGAGAACTTGTACACCTGAGCTCCTTTGGGTTAACTGCTAGATTTGCACTACAGTGTGCTGAGGTGTGTGTTTGGTGTGCTGAAAGGTAAACATAACACACTCTCAGGAACGCTCTCGGGTTCATGAGCTTAAGGAGGGTAAAGAACTAAACAAATCTTCTGTGAGCCAGACTTTTATTCTGGGTGGCTTTGTTAGCTTCTGAACATGTCAAGAGTCTTATATAGCTATACTTAGTACTAGTGTTAAGAGTTTGCACTCAATAATTTTTTACTACCCGAAACATTCACAACTTTCTGGATAAAGTTCTTGAAAACACTTCATGTGCTGTAATCATCAGTACATTTACTGTCTGGTATGTTCCCATCACCAATGAGTTAATGGCATCCCAACAGTAACATGAGAGCTTCCAGCAGGGGAATACCAAGGCTTTTGCTCCTCTCACGGGTTAGGTAGAAGCAAATACCGTATTCCTCAGTGGCTGGTCTATATCAGTGCAAAATGCTGAGGTAGAGATAAAGTGTAAGCTGGGATGGTAGTAATAGTTGTAAAGGGCATAGAGGATGCTATAGAGTGTGTATGCACTGTTTGATACAAGTACAATAATATTACAAGATGTCAGTTTCTCTCCGGGATGAGAGAAGTTGTAGAAGACATTTTTATCGGGCTCAAATTTGTTAATGTGTGTGGGTGTTGTTTGTATGGATATAATACCAGTGAGTGAGCTGATGGTGTAACTCTCTTGTTATAACATGTTTTTTGTCATTTCTATACTGTGAGTGAACAGGCCTACCTCTTCTTGGAGGAACTCAGAGTATAGCTGGGTAAAGAGACAGGAATGAGATGAAGCTAGGGGATTAAGAACGGATGTAGATCACTTTATACTGAAAAGTAACTGATTTCTATTTCTGTTGTGGGTCTTAAGCCTTCCCACTCTTATGTCGGAGTAAATTCCACAGATAAAAGCTCTCCCATCTACTTCTGTCTTTGATTGTAGTCTCTACCTCTGTCTAATTGTATCCCATCTCCTTTAGGTCCAAATCCCTGCAAGACTTTTAGGACTTATTCTCTTTCTTGATACTGCTTCCTCTGCTGAAACAGCTAGACCTTCTGTAAACTTGCATTTGTCCTTGCCCAACCACCTTTTGACTCTCCTGATTGCTTGCTGGAGTAACTGCTTTATACCACTCAGTACTGCAGTTTAATGAAGCCGCCAATTTTTCTTCTGACAACAACAATGGCTTTTGTTTATTCTTTAGGCAACTGTTTGGGTCAGGATTGTTTTTTTTTCCTGTTTTGTTTTCTTTGATGATATGGGACTAGAGAGAAGTTTGTAAATTTGTTTTTAAAGTGCATTACAAAAGGTCAAAGTTCCCAATATTTGGTCTCAGACGGGGTGCTGAGTTGGATATGGTGTATGTGAAGAGGCACAGGGTGTGCATGTGGACTATATTATGTGAATACCCATTTCTCTTTCCTTGCCATACAGTTGCTCATTGAACAAGGTTTGTGAAAGCTCAGAGACAGCTCAAGCTGTCCCAGTAATTATCACCATAGTAGTTCACTACGCTGAGCTTACAACAATATTTTGCACAATTTATGCTCTTGGCTTTTTTTTATGGTATTTCTGTTCAAATTTGAACATTTCTTTCATATACTGTTATGGTACTGACAAAAAACATTTAGCAATTGTCATTATTTATTAAATGTTTCTTTTGAGTGATATTTGTATTGAAAGTTATTTATCTCTTAAATTCAATAATTTCCCTTTCATAGCATAGTGTTCTATATTACATTAACAAAGAATGTCATTAACAAATTGACAAATGACATTATTTTCCTTCTGTGCTTTACTAGATAATTAGGTATTCTTTTGAGAGCTTCTTTTCAGGACATTGGCAAAATTTTGTCTGAGAAACATTTCAGAAAGATAAAGGCATTAAAAAACGTTTGAAGAGCAAGAGGCGCAAATTTATTTATTTTTGCTGGCTTAACAATGCCAGTGTTACAAAAACAACAAAATCTATTATAATAGACTGCATCAGCCAGCTGAATTCTTAGTAATATGAACCATCTAAGTTAATGAATTTAAAAGAAGAAGTGAACAGAGAACAGACCAAATTCAAAATTTCATCTGTGCAATCATACAATGTAAATTGATCATTTGGATGAACCTTGGTCATACAAAGTTATTCTTCCATGCTTCAGTGGGAAGTCTTTCAATATTTTTTAGGTAATGTGTGATTGATTGAGGCTTAAGAAGAAAGAGGAGAAGGAAAAAAGGGGAGAAGAGAAAGGGAGTGTGTGAGTGAGTGTGTGTGCTCGTATATGTGCATGCGTTTGCGTGTGCGTACATGTGCGAGTTTGTGTGTGTGTGTTAGAGCTGGACAAAGAATCCATTCCAGAACAGATTTCCATTATTTATAAGACAGAAGAAATGTTCCTATTCCTTTTAACATTAACCAACAGTTACCAGTTACTTTACTTTATTATTAAAGTATTTGTTTTTATATCTCTGTATCTACCGAGGGAAATCATATCATTTGAAAGTAATTGGGTTTGGAGTCGGTGCCTATGATTCCTAGCTTTCAACAATCGGGAACCAAACCGCCCACCACTATGTGTGTGTGTGTGTGTGTGTGTGTGTGTGTGTGTGTGTGTGTGTGTGTGTGTGTGCGTATGTGTGTACGTACTGGGCATATTGACTATTACAATGTCTTTGAGTTTATAGTGATTACTACAGTTGTTTTAAACGTTGGGAAGCTTTGTCAGTAGTTTAGTTTTTTGTAGAAAACAACCAGCAAATGGATGTTGTCACGCTGTGTGAATTCATGGCATCCAATTTGCTGTCAACTTGTTAAGCTTATCATTTATGAGAGCTGGGATAGGTTGAGGCCACTGCTTTTTTGCTCTGCACTTTCTAATTTTTCGTAATTAATAGAACAATTTTAATTGACTTTGCCATGCTTACCGGCACATTATGCATCTGTGAAGATGTAAGTTTTGTTAAAACACTCAGTGGCGCAGTTAGTTGTGAGGAAATGGATTACAGTGCTTCATTGCAACAGCAGAACCAACAGGAAAGAAAGAAAAACTGCAAACCATCCGCTCAATAGGAGGTTGACGATATTTAATATATATGTATGTAAGGTGTGCTGACAAAATGAGTAACATCTCAGATTTTAACTGTATGAAAATAGGTATGTTAGATTTATAAGTGGAGTTTGTACATATTTTATTCACAAGTATGAAATAATAAAAAACATGTTAAGCTTGAAGAAAATGGCATCCATTAAAAGGTCTACAAATTTGACCCTAGTCTCAATTTTCGGACCATATTTCTATTTGTGGATTGTGAGAAGTAAATCATTTAGGAGGCACAACTCACATATTATTGTATTATTATTTTGGGGTTCTGTTTGTTCACCTGACATATTGAGGAGGAGATGGTTCTGTTGTACACTGGTTTCAGACTTTGGTTGGAGGGTGTCACTGATGTGTCCTACTTCAGGACGTCCCCCTGTTGTTTCTATTTTGCTTTTTGCCAGCACAAAAGGGCTATTGTCATGTCAATGTGCTCCTGTTTACTCAACTAAACTAGATGTAATTTATTTTACAGTTATACTGTTGGTAATTATTATTCCTTAAAAGGATCATGTTCACTTGAAATCAAAGCTCGGAGGATTATGAATGAAATTAATAAGTCCTCCACACAGAAGAGTTACTTGTTCACTGGCATCTGTGGTGTTGTGATTACACATTCCACTGTTGCATGCAGAAGACTTGAGTTCAATTCTCATGTAGAGAGAATTCTTAATCAGTCTTTCTGCTTTGGTTTTGTTTCCCCTCAGCCCAGGTTGGCCCTGACAGGCAGGGTCGAAGCCTGCCTCCTAAATGATCTAAATTGTGTCGATGGGAGGGGCGAAAAATCACCTACATTTTAAGAATAAAAGTTACTTGTTCCACTGCGTGTTGAAATGCTGCCTCCTTAACCTCCTTAGCTTGTGCACTAACCACCCTTCTAACAATAACATGTGTGGGACTGACACCTTAATTGCAGGACGAAAGAGAAAAGAAAGAGAATTGAGATGTTTAAGATTTATTTATTTTTTCATTAACGCTGTGCAAGATATCTCGCATTTGCTGCATACTAACATGTGTGATATTTTATCAACCCTGAAGCAACTATGTACAATACAACATAGTAAGTTATCTTGGTTGTGTTGCATAAAATACACCATCATAATACTTAAATGTTAATGTTACATGGTGAATTCATTATGTGCATGGCATCTGGTATAAAGTGGCTTGAAGAAACAACTGTAATTTGCTCCCTTAGTTCTATTGGGGGTACTCCGAAGAACTAAAAATTCTTAAATGTTAGGCTTTGGTTAAAGTAGACAAGTGAAAGAAAATCCAATCAAAGATGTTCGTGTACATTAGTAGATCACTGACAAGTTCATGCCGGAGTGGTGTTTGCCTCTGTCTTGGAGGAGTAACGGACCTGCGCATTAAGAGAAATGCTGCATGTTCCAGCACTTGACCTCCCATTTTCTGTTCTTTCAATGTGGTTGTTGTAGAGTTACCGAGTTTACTAGTGCTGTAGGCTACTCATCAGTATGCGCCACCCACCACTAACAGCTGTGGTTGAGTTTTTGTTCAAGTTTTTGGACTACATGAGTTGGAGGAATCTCTAAAGAATGCTACTTAAACTGAGTGCATAAAAGAAGAGTTCTACATGCTCAAAAAGAAATAATGTTGATTACGTGATCTAAGTTTTTTGTATGTTTTTATGTCACAAGCAGAAGACAAGGCCAAGACTGTAAGTGATAAGTCTGGAATGCGTTACGCTGCTCGCTAGCATGTTTGTGAGATTTACGCCTATTTGGTCCGTCCCTGGACAGCGAGTGATACTGACACATAAATTGCTACTGTCGAAATGTGATTCCATAATGTGATAGCATGTCAGTTTAACACTTATGAAATGCAATGGTTGAAATGTAATTTTATAACATGACAGCATGTCAATTTTGGCATAGCTTGAGCATAAAATTTTACTATCAAAATGTGATTCTGTGATATGGCAGTGTGTCTGTTTTGACATAGTTTGAGCAAAGTTTTACCATCAAAATGGGATTCTGTAACATGACAGCATGTCAGTTTTGACCCATGAAGTGCAACAGAACTATAGAGGTGCTACACTGGTCATTTCTAGGAGGACTGATTGTACGAATCAATGGTTGTCCTCATGGGAACTGAGAGAAAGTATATTATATCAGAATGAACTGGAAGGCCAAGGAAGTTATTCTGAAGTGACCTTGTGAAGATCCTTCCGTCACAGGGCCTACATCCTGGTGTTAAAACATTCTTTATTCAATTTCACCTTTGAAAACTTTAAAGTATGAGAGCTGTCATTTTATCAGCTGCAACTCAAATGTGACAATGCTGATGTGGGTTAGCTCTTGAATAATAAAAGGGAAGTAACTAAACCATGTTTGCTATTTTTGCAGACGCTGCAGTAGAATTTTTCAACTCTGAGAGGATTTTTGAAATTTCCCTTTCATTGTTTTGGTTTGATCCGTACATACAATCATTATCACACATTCTTCATATTAACGGTAAACTTACTTATGCATTCTCATCATTACTAATGAATAGGCCAGACCTGTTTGTATATGAAATTTAATTGATGAGAGTAATACAATATTATTTGTTTTAGAAAAACAAAAACGTTAACAAATTGATGTCATTAGGAACACTCCAAAAGCATTTCCTAGAGTAAATCTAAGGGTAAAAATGTAAAGTTTGGTATTTTATACTTAGCACTGTTCTCAGACTGACTAGGGTTGTCGCCTTTAAGTCTTTGTCTCTCCTCGGCTTTTCCATTCATCAGTCTAATATTCTAAGCTGCCGTGCTCATTCAGCTTGTGTTATAATAATGATGATGATAATACATGTAATAATAATAGTAATAATAATTATTATTATAATAATGATAATAATTATAAATACTAATTTGTTCGTGTAACGTTATTGAAAATTATACCTATGACTTTGACAGTTGTTTAATAATAATGTTTTGTATTGCTCATTATGCCCATATTCTGCTTAACGGACTTTACAACAACAGGAAAGTCCAGCCTTGAAATAGCACAAATGTTCTAAATGCTTACAAGATAGCAGCTTCTTATATATCCTAGTATATGTGTCTGTGTATAAATATATTGATCTGGTCTAATCAATGACCACTGTGTTTGTTGTCTATTTCAGTACCCTCTGGGCCCCGGAGAGGGGATATTCCTTGGGCGGTCAACTACAGCTAACAACAGCCACAACAGCAACAGCGGTGCCAACATCATAGATAGCGACGACAACGGAGAGCTCAGGGCACAGCCTGTTGAGGTGACCTTGAACTGGGCTGCCAGCACATCTCGGCCAAGTCCTCCGGTGGTGGACATTGTAGACTTTGAGAAGGTGGAGAGCGTAGATAGTGTAGCCAGCAGTAGTTCTGACACCAGTGGGGATGAGTCTCTCTCTGTTGTCAGCCAAGGAGGCAGTGACACTGTCAGTTCTGTCATCCTCAGTGGAGATGATAAGGAGATACAGATAGAGGAGGAAGAGAGTAGGGAGGATAGACAAAAGAAAACTGAAGATTGGAATAATATTATTCAAAGCCTTGATGGTGAAGTAGGCATATGATAGACAAGTAGTGTAGTCTTTTCTAGACAAAGCTTTGATCAGTCAGCCATTGTGCTCCTTTACCTCCTGGCTGTTCACATTCTGCTCTGTGATCAACTCATTGGCATAACTTTTTTCTCTCGATGTGGCACGACATGGTCTGATTCAGGCTTCAGGTGTTCCTGTTTTCTCTCTTCCACTTCCCCATTATAATTGCAAGTTCCCACTTTTCTCTTTTTTTCCAGTGCATTTCAATCTACTCCGAAGTTTGGTGTTTGCTCCATCACTTTGTTCTCCGGTCATACATCGGACGCATGTTTTTCCTTTCTTAAATCTTCATTTCTCTTGCCACAAAAATGAGTGACTCCAAATGTTTTGTTACGCACACTGTAAAGTAGTGTCAAGCAAAGTTACTGATTTTTCTCTCTACATCGACGTCTTGACTTTTTAAGTCTACCCTCAGCTCGGATTTCCCTCTCTGTCTCTTTTAATGCCCTGTCTCCTCCCCTCGCCACTACCAGTTCATTGAATTAAAACTATTCTCAGCCTTCCCTTAATGTATAGCACATGTTCCCACTATTGCTGTATACGTAGCCTTGGCACGTAATATTATAGATGAGGCACATACATGTGAACAGTCCTTCCATCCATCCATTCTTTATGTGTATCCGTGTTACTACGTGAATTAATGCCCCCCAATGTGTACACTGCACAAGGGTCCCCCCCCACCAATATTCTGCTGTAATATTTGCTGCTTGGTCTGTCTGATCAAATATCCCTGCTCCCCCTAGGTTGACCAATATTGACTGCTGTAATCACTGTAGTTTATCACCGACCATCTCTGAACACAGCAGAGAAGTTTTTGTTTACACTTGTGAATTTTATAGTTTTGTTGTAGTCAACGGTTTGTTTGTTAACATTTTTCCTTTTGTCACTTTAAGTACGTGTAGCAGACAAGGAGCATTTGTAGCAATCGGAGAATAAATGGACTGGTGAAAAAAGGTCAATCAGGATGATGCCATATGCTTAGACAATAAGTATGATCAAATTTCAGACAAATACTGATGCTGCTGTTCAGACTCATGGGATTATACGTAACAGTTATGCTTATTAGCCCTCTCATGTTGAGTTTATTTCCTGTTTTGGAGCTGAATATGCTTTGTACAACTGACTGAGGAGTTTGATGGGTGATGTTTCAATAATGATGCGAAAAACAGTTCAGATAATCAGTTTGTGGACTTGCACTGAAGCCTCAAGTCTTTTGATGTAAAGGAAATTTATTTTCCTTTTGTAGGTGTGGTATGAATGTCCGATTTTGAAAAGGAGTATAGAAGATGGGAAGCTTTAAATATTAAAGCAGATTTGCACCTTGATGGGGTGTAGAGTGAGCAAAACTTTTGCAGGAAATGTGTCTATGTACAAGTGGATTCTTATAATATCATTATGTCCAACAAGCTCGTCTGTCTAGTTCTAAGGTGACAAATTAATTTCTTATCTCATGAAGGAAGAAAATGGAAACCAAGCTAGCCTTTCTATGCGTGAGGTTTTTTACAGCATTTTTTTTTATAGTACATCATGTCTGCTTTTTCTTTTCAAAGAAATTTCCCTGTCTAAAATTCTGTTCACTACATCATTTGAATGCAGTATTCCTACAAAACAACACTTAGAATTAATAGTAGAATAGTAGGGTTTGTCAAATAGTCATTATTTTCAATGTTTGTTTGGTTAGAGTGCAGGAAAAGTTGTAGGCCTATATGCTTGTCACCGCAGCACTATAGTTTTAATTGCTATGTTCTATGTGACTTAATGTTGTTGGATTTTTTTTTCTTTTTAATTTTAACCCCTTCACTGCAACTAGATATTCCAACTGTGGCAAACTTTCTTAGCTCACTCCTTACTATACTGTGTGCTATTTACGACCATCTTTGATCGCAATTTTAAAACTTTTTTTACAAGTCTATGATTGTATCAATTATTACTGCTGCCAAAAGCGAAATGCTCGCAGCTAAAGGGATTTGAAAACAACAACATCAATTATTACGAATTGGGCACCCATTTGATTTGGTTTTCTTGCGTGCCCAGATTAACTTCAAAGAGTAATGTAATTGAAAATGAAATGTGTGGCATTTTGATGAAATCAGGCACTCATCAATTTTTGGGCATGTGGAGTTATCTTACTTAAACCATATTTCTTTTTTATCTTTCTTTTGATTAAAAAATAACCATCTATCTTGAACAGAAGTCTAAAATGTTTGCAATAGAAGGAATTGGGGGTAGCCTGGTGTCAGTGGTAAAATTAGCAAGAAAATGGCCACCAAAGTTTGGTGACTTCTGAAGCTTGAATGTCTTTGGAAACTGCAAATTTACATATTCTTTTTTGCATTTGAGCAGCATGACAACATATTTCAGTAAAATCTACAAAGAAATGCGTTTTTAAATGGACAGGAAAAGTGTTGAGCCAAAAAAGAAAATTCAATAAAAATTGCCCAACTGGCGGAGAAATGCTGGTTTCTTCGTTTTGATTGTTTTGATGAGCACATGATTTCACCATGATGCCTCATAAGTCAGCATTTGATTTGCAAAAAGTGTCAGCAGTGAAGGGGTTAACTGGAACCGGTTATGTTTATTTGCAGATGCAAACATGGCAATAATGTGCAATCTTCCAATGAAAACATGCTCTCCCCCCCCAAGCGCTATGATTAGCATGCATTCACTCCATAGGTCTTGTTGTTTTTTTCATAATTTGTGTTTGTTTCTTTTCATTTGCTCCTGTAGTTTTTGTAGCTTTTGCCTTCTCACTTCTCCGTCACATTTTTATTATAGTTTTACTGTTTTTCCATTTTATGTGTAACATTCATTTGATTCACATGTTCCATCTGTAGCATTAAATTTTGATCAAAGTATTGAGTAAGATTGACAGTGTGAAATGGCTAACAACATATTGTCTTGCTGCTTGGTAGAATGAAGACTTTTATCGGATGAAATTAATTTAGTTCAACATGTCTTTAGGACCAGTGTGACTGTTGTAGTTTGTTCCTTCTGAGAGTTGGAAAAAACAACTCTGTCATGTACAGTGTACATAGCTTTGATGTTCAATATATGTGTACAAGCAAATGTATAGAATGTGTGTACTTGTGTGTATGGTCTCTCTGATGTGTGAGAACTGAACACTTGCAAATATGTTAATGATTAATGCGTTTGAATGTTCATGGATGTTTTGTACCCTTATACATATATATATGTATGAGTGTGTCTGTGCGTATCTGTGTGTGTCTGTGCGTGATCTGTTTGTGTGTGTAGGTTCTGTATTTTGTCTGGAAGCTATTAAATCATTTTAAGTTTTTCTTTCCCTCTTTTTTTTTAACTTGCTGCAGTTTTAATGAGTAGAGCTCGCGCATTTAAAAAATTTTCACAACATCATGTTTTTGTTCTGTAAACTTTGATTATGATGATGTAAAATTTTTTTTAAGTGAGACACATTCTGTTTTCTTTTCATGAAATTCTTCTGGAGCCAGATCTAAAACAGATATGGATTATCATGGTTGGGCCCTCTTTTTGCTGCTCAAATGCTCTCTAGTATAATATGAATCAGAAACAAAGGTTCTTTTCTCATTAAATTAATTTAAATGAGGTTCAAAAAGCAAACTTGACAACTTCAAAGAAGTCGTCTTCGTAAAAACTTACCATAAGTTAGAGGCTAGACTTAAATACAGACAAATTAGGTTTTAAGTCCACGTTGGAGTCAAAATTACTTTCAGAAGTCCGCTAGCTTTACTTGATTTTTTTTTATTGGAGAAGAATTCAATCATTAATAACTTCCAAGATGAAATGGGGGGGAAGAGTTTTGAGAGTTAAGTGATGACAAGAGAGTGTGTAGAGACTTACTCAGAGTACATGGAGGTTTGTCAGGATATGGTTCTCAGACGTAAGATTGAATAATTGCTGATATTGGTTCTTGTTGACAGTAGATTCGTTCTCTTAGGTCTTCGGTGTGTGTGTGGAGCACTACGTCCAGCAGCACTTGAAGTGTATCCATGTAGACTTGATTTCAGCTATTAGTGTGTGCTTGTCTTGTTTATTCTTGTCTAACGCAAACAAAAAATTCTTGATATTCAGTCGCTTACATATGTTTATTTGGTCATAACTCGTGCATTTATGAGTAATTTATTTGTCCTACTCGTCCTATTCTCTTGTACGGTTATTACATTTTGCCACTCTATACAAATAAAAAAAAACAACCAATGTTGGTCATTTGGAAATGGACTTCCTGTGTTGTCACTAGTTCTGTCATGTGTGTTCCTTTGTTGTAAAAAGTCAGTACTGTCAAACCCACTTTAACGGCCACCTGAATATATGATAATCAACCGAACAAACAGCCACTTCCCATTCCCCTCCCTTTCATTTTTTTTCATTTTAATGACACTGTGTAAGCCATCCGTCTGTCTAAGATGGTCATTTTTCTCCTCACAATCAGTTACCATCTGAAACTATTTCGACTGCGCTGTATTTTGATTACAGTTACAGGTTGAAGAAAGTATTGAATCTTCTAAAATAAGTGAAAGTTGCATAGATTCTGGAACATTTGAGACAGATATTATGAACAGATAACTAGAGCAGCTTGACTTATTTCCTCTTCTCTCTACCAAGGCCCAGATGATGTGTGAGTGCCTCCCTTTTTTTTTCAAGGGAGATGAAGGAGTCCACCCTATTGAAACAGGTGGCTGAGCTTATTATTGTCGTGTTGTTTGTTACGAACCCAACTGGCATGAGCTCACAAAATTTTTGTTTTCTCTGCTCTTATAATTGAAATATTTAGGCAAGGGTTCAATGCTTTCCAAGCTGCTCATACCATGGTACACTCAGCATCATATGTCATGAGCTTGTCTTCTTGACAATAATTTGGTTTATTTTTGGGATCCACTGATTGGATATATATTATGTGCAATTTTTATAATAAAACTCTTTCAAGAAAGAGCAAAAACTATAGTTGTAAAGTAGGCTACAAAAAACTTGTTACTGTTAGATCTAGCAATACAATATCCAAAGAGTGACCCCCCAAAAAGATGTCTGTTTTATAAATGTTTGGACAAAATGTTGGCAGTATTGTGCATAGTATGTTGGCTGACCTGAAGAAATGTGTCAAAACTTTCTCAATATCTGAGAACATTTACAGAAGATTGAAAGAGTGTCTTGTTTGTTTTGGCAAGTCTTTTAAGTTTTACCGCGCTTGCAACTGCATAGGGTCATATAAGCACGCAGGACACATTAAACATTTTCCAGTTTAGTAGAAATTAATTTTAAATTTTACCAGTGTGGTGGCAGAAACATACTCTTATCAATTTTTTACCACAAAGGGATCTTTAACGAGCGCAACTTGCACCCGGGACCTCCTAGATAAATAAATTTCATCCTTATCCATAAAAGCTAGAAGGTGTTAGATCTTACCAACCCAAAGACCAGAGGTGTGGCTGAAAGGCAGCAGTAAAAAGGTGCCAAGAAGTAGAAGTAGTAGTTAATAAGAAAGGCTGCAGAAAGAGTCATGATCCCAGAGATGGGGGGGAGAGGGGGCAGGAAGTGGAGTGAAAGCGGACGACAGAACATGGTTAAAGAGCAGGAAAGGAGAAAATTTTAGGGAAGAAAATTTTTCGGCGCAGTCAGGTTTCGAACCCACAACCTATTGAATGAGAAGCCAACACTGTAACCCATGAGGGCATCCAAAAAAGTGTCAAAACAGATTTGTCTCAATTTTTGGAATGGAATTTCAGGTCTGTTTCCAGACATTCCTTTTACTTCTGGTTCAAGGGTAAATCTGCCAAGGTCATGTTGCCTTTTATACACATAACAAGCATCAGGACAATTTCAGATGTTTCTCAGATATTACATTGCACCCACAGTACCATTGACAGTACGACAAATGCATTCACACCATTTTTTTATAATGAGCTAAGCATGGTGCGATCTGACTTGTCAATGTGTATTGACTGATTGCTTCATCAAAGCTGCGATGATAAAATGGATTGCTGCCAAAGCCGTGTAAATAAAACAGAGAAAGTCACTTCCACCTCAGCCCTCTCTAAACACAGGCTAAAGAAAATTCAAGACAAGAAAAATCTAGAGTTATGCTCTGACCATGTACATGTAACTGGTTTCTTGAAAATATTTCAACACCCGGAAAAACCCTTTTGATTCAAACTTTAGCTCCAGAGTTTCTATACTGTTTAAAGCAAGTGCATGCTGACTCCTGGTTTTTATTGACAACCCTCCTACAAAGAGATGCCCTATCTTTTCCAGTTTACTTAGAGCATAAACACTTTCAGTCAGTAGCCTATGTGTTTGGTGTGAGTTCAAAACTTTTTGAATCAGAGAAACAAGAATAGTCAGAAAAGAAGTGAGGAAAATTTTGAAACAAATAAAGTTGTTTTTTCAAATCAAAATTGATAAAACAATAACACAAAGCCTCAGAATATTATATCAAATTGCGTTGACTTTAATTGCATGTCAACAGCAATGAATCATGAATTATAATGATAATATTTATTAATGTTAATATGCCACAAGATATCACAGAAATGCTTTGGAATGCTAATAAAAATGATTAGATCTACTGAAACTAATAATTTCAAAATATATGATACTATTCTAAACTCAGCTCATAACCCAATAATAGACAACAACAAAAAGACGCATTCAAGATGCTTGTTCTAGACTGACAATGTACACAAAGCAAGTTTTGTTGTGGACAACTTTTTTCTAAACTGTTGACAAATTTAATTTCCAACCCCTGCCCCCAATTTGGTTTGATCTTCTTCTTAGAGAGTTAGATAGGCATTATTCTGTTCTTTAGAATAGAAGACAACTTTCAGAAAGCAGTAAAATTAATCCAACAAATGAAGAGTGTCTCTCTTTCCATTATACTAAAGACAAGAAGAGTGGACAATAAATATTATGTGTGTAATGTAATAGAATAAATACAGGAGAGCCTCTTTTCACGTTCAACAAGAAGTTCATGACACAAACATATCACTTGCTGTGCTGATTAAGTATTTTTGTAAAAAAGGAGTTTTTTGACAATTCAACATAAATACAAACACCTCAGATACAGCAACCTTTAGGATTTTTTAAGCTATAAAGCCATAACTTGATAACTGATACTTCACACAACATGTCAAACTTTTATGACAGAGGGTGCTGAAGCAAAAATGCTTTTCCAAACACATCGAATAACAGAATGCAAAATGTACAGTGCATTGATAACAAGTCGGTCCAGCTCAGGTTTCACCACTGGAATTCTATTTTTACCTTACTTTAAAATAATGTTGACAATAAAGATTAAGTACAATCAAATGTCACTGAGACGACAATTCTCACCACGGCCGCCACATCGTTTCCGGGGAGATCTGCTGTGACTGTCGCTTTGTGCAGAGGTTGAGAGCATTGTTCGGGGTTTGTGGCTTCAAAGACAAATCACCAGCTATCTGAACAGCATTGTCATACACAGCAGTGTGGCTCATGTAAGGATGCACAGGAGTTCTTGGGATGACAGGCAGGGGTTCGTACCCATAGTACTGATACAGTGGCTGTTCTTTATGGGGAAGACCCGACTCTGAGGCTGGAGAGACTGGGGTAGCCGGGAGGGAATGGGTCGTGATATTAATACTTGCATGTCGAGGTGTAGGGGGGGACACAGAGCGACTGAGGGGAAGATTATCCCGCCGTAGAGATGCCAATGATCCACTCATTTTAACAAAAGCAGAGTTCTCGTGTACAGGTAAGATATTATGCTCAGGGCAAGGCCTGAAGATCTGTTGGGAGGTTGGGCTGGGTCTGTCTATGGTTGATGTTGCTTCCTGCTCAGAGAAAGTTGGGTCTTTGTTTTCGATGAACGACTGATCTGAAATATCCTCAGATGGCTTTGACTCAACCACCACATTACCATCACACTGAACCAATGGCTGCTCTTGCTGTGGCTGATTAGAAAGTTTTTGTGAAATGGGTGTTGATGACTGAATGGGTGATGGAATATAGCACCGCCTTGAGTCAAAACTGCTGACAGGTGGTCGCTGAAAACTGACATGATCTTGTGACGCTGAGGGCGGAGTCATCTGTATGGCATAACTAGACACAGGGTGCTCCTCTACTTGAACAACTGTCTCCATTTGTCGAGCAATTGTACGTAAGTGATTCTGAAGCTGGACTTTGACCTCAGAGGGCACCAGGCGAGAATTTTGAATGTACCTGATGGATTCTTCAGCACAGGAGCTGAACCCTGAGGCATATCTGACAGCCATGGCTTTGCGGGCAGAGAAAGAGCTATCACGCGATGAACCAGTCTCTGTCCTAAGCCGCGTCAGAACTTCCAGCGTTTTCTCCAGAATTTCTGCCTTTTCCATTTTATCCAAATCTGTTTCCTATGGAAATGAACAAAATGAGAAAGTTCAGACTCAATGTTATTTCTAGAATATAGATCTTATCTATATAATATATATATATCTATATATAAATAATAAACAGTAACTCTGTCCCATGTTATCAAAGAGTACAATTGGGTGTATTATTCAGCAGCAAAGTCACAGAAAATAAGATCAACAAATTAATACAACAGCCACACTCCTATTGAAAACTTTAAGAAACCTTTTACCTCAAGTAACATATATAAACAGAAAAATTTGCACAAGGAATGGTTGCTATAGTTACAGAACCTGTCCTATGATCTAAGACTATAAAAGTGTACACATATAAAGAACAGCCCTGAGGACAACCCCCTTTTACTATGTCATTGACATTATTATAATTATTTTTATACTATAGGCCTAGTACTTGTATATATATCATATTATGTTACCCTTATCATTCACTTCACACAATAACATACTGTCAATGACATTGAATTGATTGAACTAAATCAAAATAAGAGAAAGG